CCTGTCATCCTGTCTCACCTTTGTTTATTTGTCTGTCATCCTGTCTCACCTTTGTTTATCTGCCTGTCATCCTGTCCCATTCTGTCCCACCTTTGTTTATCTGTCTGTCATCCTGTCCCACCTTTGTTTATTTGTCTGTCATCCTGTCCCACCTTTGTTTATCTGCCTGTCATCCTGTCTCACCTTTGTTTACTTGCCTGTCATCCTGTCCCATCTCTGTTTAACTGCCTGTCATCCTTTCCCACCTTTGTTTATCTGCCTGTCATTGTTTATTTGTCTGTCATCCTGTCCCACCTTTGTTTATCTGCCTGTCATCCTGTCTCACCTTTGTTTACTTGCCTGTCATCCTGTCCCATCTCTGTTTAACTGCCTGTCATCCTTTCCCACCTTTGTTTATCTGCCTGTCATCCTGTGTCACCTTTGTTTATCTGCCTGTCATTCTGTCCCACCTTTGTTTATCTGCCTGTAATCCTGTCCCACCTTTGTTTATCTGCCTGTCATCCTGTCTCACCTTTGTTTATCTGCCTGTCATCCTGTCCCATCTGTTTAACTGCCTGGCATCCTTTCTCACCTTTGTTTATCTGCCTGTCATCCTGTCTCACCTTTGTTTATCTGTCTGTCATCCTGTTCCACTTTTGTTTATCTGCCTGTCATCCTGTGTCACCTTTGTTTATCTGCCTGTCATCCTGTCTCACCTTTGTTTATCTGCCTGTCATCCTGTCTCACCTTTGTTTATCTGCCTGTCATCCTGTCTCACCTTTGTTTACCTGCCTGTCATTCTGTCCCATCTTTGTTTATCTGCCTGTCATCCTGTCCCACCTTTGTTTATCTGCCTGTCATCCTGTCTGTCATCCTGTCTCACCTTTATCTGCCTGTCATCCTGTCTCACCTTTGTTTATCTGCCTGTCATCCTTTCTCACCTTTGTTTATCTATCTGTCATACCTTTGTTTATCTGCCTGTCATACCTTTGTTTATCTGCCTGTCATCCTGTGTCACCTTTGTTTATCTGCCTGTCATCCTGTCTCACCTTTGTTTATCTGCCTGTCATCCTGTCTCACCTTTGTTTATCTGCCTGTCATCCTGTCTCACCTTTGTTTATCTGCCTGTCATCCTTTCTCACCTTTGTTTATCTGTCTGTCATACCTTTGTTTATCTACCTGTCATCATGTCTCACCTTTTTTTATTTGCCTATCATCCTGTCCCACCTTTGCTTATCTGCCTGTCATCCTGTCCCACCTTTGTTTATCTGCCACCTAGACAAAATCAAACTTAATGAAGTGCTTTCTCAGAATTAGCAAAATATCTGTCAATTAAGTGATATCATTACTTACAGACAGACAGAATTGTACACTAGGGACATTTGTCAACAACCAATCATGTGAAGATAGAAGATTAAACCACAATCACAAATTTAAAATTATTGATGTCTTAATGTCATTATTTTCTTAGCCCACCATATTCAAATTGTCACATGCATGGTCCTTGTACTGTCGGTAAACAATTTTTGTTAACAATATTTCTTGATAAGTACTTGATGGATCAATTTCAAATTTCACCTCGTCATCAGATGGTAGGCTATTCAAATCTCCCATGTCGCGAGTCGGTCTGTCAACAATTCTTGTTATTGCTATATGTCTTGAGAAGTACTGAATAGATCTTTGTCAGATTTCATTAGTAGGTTCCTCTTGTTCATGAGTTTTTCCCATTTAATTGTGGGACTGATCACAGCAACAAAATAGCCAACAGGTGGCCATCCTGGACTTTGTCTTTGAAATCTTGTAATCACTATTTCTTGAGAAGTACTGAATGGATCTTTCAAATGTTGTATGAGTTTCCTTTGGTCTGTAGTTGTGACCGTGTGAAATCTGGATTGATCAGAACCACAAAATGACTGACAGATGGCAAACTTCAATTTCAACAATGAAAATTTGTTCTTGCTATTTCTTGGAAGTACATGTACTGATGGATTTCACATACAGGCTCCTCTTGTTCTCTACTTGTGCCCTTAGATTTTGGGACTGATAAGGAAAACTAAACTGGTTGACAGGAGGAATTTTTAAATTTCATATAATTATGAGAATTATAAGCAAAACCAGAGGAAAAAAGATGAAAGAAAGGAAAAGATCAAACTTTTAAAGAGCAAATAAAAGACAAACCATTGTGGATGCTACGATCCCTCCGGGATCTCATTTCATTCACATAAAATAATGTCTACTCAAAACTAATTTATCTCAAAATTTCAATAACGTTTTTGATACTGTTGTCCATTTCATCACAGGATTATGAAAGGTTGCAATGCTACATTAAACAAGACATTAATATTAAACAAGTGATAGAGGACCACCAGTAAAAAACCCTTGATTCTCTCTATAATACACTCTAATAGTTTGAAAAATTTCTCAACATGTCATTGAATTAGCAATATCATCAAAGCTTGGGAATGATACTTGAATGTCAAAATATATATTTAAGCTGAAATTTCTTAACTGCCTAACAACAGCCAAGTTTTTACCCCTATTTTAGACATATGATATCAAGATATCGTTTATATTGTTAATAATTTCTAAAAAATCAGTTCAAGCTTGAAATATATTGTTCTCTAGGTGTATTTTGCTAAAAGTACAAGGACAAGCGTTTGATGAAAAGAATATTATTACAAGGATATTATACCCATTAGTACACAAGGATATTAAAAACTATCACTTGTCGCATTATCGACCTGTTAACCAGCAAATTTGACCAAGTTACATTTTTTTTCTCATTTCTACCAGGGCAATACTGGTCTGTCGAGGGCAATATACCAAGGTTTCACTGTTTTTGTATTACACACCCATCCATGCAGCACAGGCACATAGAAATATGACAAGTCCCTTCCCAGCTGACGTCATCCCATGATACAATGTAGATATGCCTGTGCATATCGTTATTTGCAATGACTGTTTATATGTTGCTTTAATTTTTTAGGGCAAACTTTGCCAAATCTAAGTACAAAGAGTTCATTTTCTAGGTCAACTTAATTGCATAATTTGAAATTTTTTTGTGTAATATGGCAACCTTGGTAGTACATTGTCAACATCTGAAGCTAATATTAATTCAAATTTTAGAAGAAGAAATGAGAGAAATAAACTCTTTTTTATGTTTTATGTCACAAAATGTGGTAAAAGCCTCAATAAAGCCTCAGCTTTTAAAAACATTTTGTGACCCCTTAGGTGGAATATATCTCTGACATATGAAAATGTTATAGTGTATGTCACTGGTTTTACATGGCCGTGACCATTGGTTTTGCCAGTCAGAAATTGAATATAACGTCATAAAACTGACAATGACTTTATGACATGAAATGAAAATGGAGCAACGAATTTCATTTAATTTTGTCATAAATATTTTGACTTAAAAGCCTGGCAAAACAAAACTTTACTGATTGATGTGATAAAAAATATCTAAAATTTGTTTTATTTTTGCTCAAATATGAAAATTTCAAAGACTTGATTCACAAAAGTGAAAACTTGGACAAGATCCTATAGTTATGAGATAAAATCCTACCTGAATTGTTCATTAACAAACCATACAGGTATGTATCCATTATATACATAATCACCATAATAAGTGATAAGACACAATAAAGTTCATTCAGTTTCTTTTCATCGCAAAACAAATTTTCTTCAGATTGTAAATTCAGACATAACATAATGAAGCAGGTATATATTTCATGAGATAAGCAATAAATATTAAATCTATTCCACTCAATACACTTAAAAACACATATACAGCATCAACTCCCCCTTCTGTCTCCACTTTCTAATGGTCTATCAGACAATAAGCCCACTGATGAATACTACTGTTAAGTAAATTCCAATGTTACATTTTAAAGTAATCAGCCCACCTCACTATTTCAGTTGTGTTGGCACTGTGAACTTCCAGCTCGATACAAATACGGTGCATAGACATTTGAAATTGCATTATCAACAAATTGCCATTGCTTTCGTTTATACAAAATGATGCCCTTGACACTCTAGGGATTTCACTCACTCTCACTCTCTGCACCTCTGTCACCATCCTCGACACTCTAGGGATTTCACTCACTCTCACTCTCTGCACCTCTGTCACCATCCTCGACACTCTAGGGATTTCACTCACTCTCACTCTCTGCAACCCTGTCACCATCCTCAACACTCTAGGGATTTCACTTACTCTCACTCTCTGCACCCCTGTCACCATCCTCGACACTCTAGGGATTTCAATCACTCTCACTCTCTGCACCTCTGTCACCTTCCTCGACATTCTAGGGATTTCACTCACTCTCACTCTCTGCACCCCTGTCACCATCCTCGACACTCTAGGGATTTCACTCATTCTCGCTCTCTGCACCCCTGTCACCATCCTCGACACTCTAGGGATTTCACTCACTCTCACTCTCTGCACCTCTGTCACCATCCTCGACACTCTAGGGATTTCACTCACTCTTACTCTCTGCACCCCTGTCACCATCATCGATACTCCAGAAATTTCACTCACTCTCACTCTCTGCATCCCTGTCACCATCATCGATACTCCAGAGATTTCACTCACTCTCGTTCTCTGCACCCCTGGAACATTTCTTGGCAAAATTGAAGGTTCTGCGTGCAACACATTGAGGATAAGATGAGAAATGTAGTTGGATCCTTTGTACATTAAACTAATCTTCAGGTCACATAACAATAGGTTGTTCTAGCTTTGAAGTTTGGTGTCACTCCTTTGTAATCTTCAAAGACCATATTAGTCAGTGATTGGTCAGGTTTTTACTCCTGAAGCCCACTCTCTTAACCAATAAAGTGTTTCATAACTATGGCAAATGTTGACAGATTTTAACCATCAAACTCATACAAGATCTTATTAAATCAAATTCGGTTCCAAAAACATTATTTGATGGAAACCCTAATTCAGATAAAAAAAACCCAGACAGACCAGAAACAATATGCCCCATGTTTTTCAATTCACAAGACATAAGAAACATTTGAGATAAATCATTAAATGTTTTTATCCTAAAAGATCATCATAGATAATCAAAGTACATAAATATCAATACATATTAAACACTATCATGCTTGTCTATCATTCTGTTCCTTACATACATGTATATATCTGTGTGATACTTTCATGGATTTGAATTGTATTCTATTAGAACAAACAATAAATTTGCACAAATACTGCACAACAGCTACAATCACTAATTTATGTAAATACAGTGTAATTAATCTTACACTTTCTTATCTGCAGAAAACTTGCTTAATTGTGTTCGATGTATTTTCAACAAATTCAGGTTTTAAAATGTAACTGTACAGAGATTCTGATAAGGAGTTTTACATTGTGAAGTTGAAAGACACAAATGTATGCATAGTTAACATCCTTTCATTTGACTTCATTACTGATACAATTATTTACTTGTACACTAAGATATAATATGGTGAAATTAGTAACAGGCTCAGCTTAACATCAAGGGGAGATAAATCAGTCAATTTTACTGCCAGAAAATCAGATTTTTCACTCAAGAACGATCATAACCTTAATAGCCTGTGATCCCAGCACACTACAGGCCATATGTCATAACTTAATAGCCTGTGATCCCAGCACACTACAGGCCATATGTCATAACTTAATAGTCTGTGATCCCAGCACACTACAGGCCATATGTCATAAACTAATAGCTTGTGATCCCAGCACACTACAGCCCATATGTCATAAACTAATAGCCTGTGATCCCAGCACACTACAGGCCATATGTCATAAACTAATAACTTAGGATCCAAGCACACTACAGCTCATATGTCATAAACTAATAGCCTGTGATCCCAGTACACTACAGGTCATATGTCATATTTAATAGCCTGTGATCCCAACACACTACAGGCCACATGTCATAACCTTTGACCTCTTTGTCATTACCATATCTAACCCACGTTACTTTGAAGTTATTATTATTACATTCTTAATGGCCCGTCAACACATAAAAGGCCATTAGGGCCATACCTTGAAGTGGATTATGGTAAATCACATTAAATTTGAAGGTCCTTATTTCAGCAAGCTATTAGCCTCAAATCCTGAATCTAGATTACCGGGCACTTGAAAAAACTGCTTTAACAAAGAAAGTTTTTGTGGGACAGGAATCAGACTATCCACCAAGCAAAAGATTATTTTCTCTTCAGACAGATTAACTAAGATCCCGACAAAACCTCGCAAAGTGTACATTTATACCAGGCAGATCAAAGCATTCACCTTACGCACACACAACTCACTGTCACTATATCACAATTTTCCATTTTCTATCTCTTTCAACTAAGAGTCAGTTTTTCTCTCTTCTTTTTCTTCATTTTGTATTTTTGTACGGGTTTCACTTTTTGTGGAGGTAGATATGCCTTTTCTACTACTTGTTGAAGCTGGCATTCCTTTCCTGTTAGTCTGACTGTCCTGAAATGTGATTGCACCCACTTTCTTTCTTGATTCATATTCAAGAACTTTTTCTGATATCTTTACACCTGTCAAGAGAAAGAAGAGTTCAATATAGATAAAGAAAACATGAAAATACCATGAATTCTATAGATTGTCACTTTTACAGGCGAGAGAGAATCTGACATAAATCTATTAATTAAAGTGATGGAAAATATTTAATGTATCAAATTTGTCCAGGACAAGGTGAACACTCTGGACAACTTCCAAATGTATAGAATACAGGGTAGTCTCATCAACAGGTGCAGGAACATTACATATAGAATACCATACATATCCTTATATATACTGTCTCCTCCAGCCCTATCCTCTTTCACAATTATCCTGTAAATGGTAAGTTAAAACATTACATCAAATGTTATCCAGCACTGAAGTCGGTCGGTCGGTTGGACGGACAGACAGACAGATGCAGGCAAACAAAGAGATAAAAAGTGTATATGAAATCACAAAAGCTCTGCAGAGACATTTATGTATGATAAAATTATAACTATGATGATTATTGATATAACAGATGTTAAAACAATTTAGCTATTTTTAAACATATTACACAAACCTTCTCTAAATGTTTCCAGAATTCCTCTTTTGCTGGCAGGTTCGTCTCCAGGCTGTTGAAATTTGGGTTCATGCATTATCCTCTCAGGTATTTTGAAAAACCTCTGGACAGCATTTAATTTGAAGAAAAGGACCATGAAGAGTGAATACATATTTGATATGAACCAGTAAAAGCACAGTGCCTGCAAAATAAAAGGTGGGACTTTTGAACTAAAACTGTATCATTGAATAATTAAAACACATGAAGATCTGAAATATGTTACTCCTGAAAATTCTCAAATTTGTGTTGATTTCTTTTAAATGTTTTATATACAAAGAAAACATTGGTAGTTCAAATATTTACTCTAAATTTAAACAAGTAAATGCATGTGTATTGACATAATATAACACTATGTCTTACTTTGTCTTCAACTGTACATTTCTGTGGTAATGTTTAGAATATATGTCTTTATTCTGTGGTAATGTTTAGTAATGTTTAGAATAATATATATCTAGAATATACAATGTTTAGAATATATGTCTTTATTCTGTGGTAATGTTTAGAATATAAGTCTTTATTATGTGGTAATGTTTAGAATATATGTCTTATTTCTATGGTAATGTTTAGAATATATGTCTATATTCTGTGGTAATGTTTAGAATCAATATAACAATTTGCTATTTTCGAAGTTTTATGTATGTGTCGATGAATTTGCCTTATTTAAGAACATGATAAAATTAAAAAAAGTAATAAATTGCTCTGTTTTGAACATTCAATGAATGTGATACAGATTCATTATTAGAGAGTATGTAAGAGAACTGTACAAATTGGTAATCCTTTAAGGTCATTTTTTTGCGATTTTCTTTAAAAATGATTAAATTACATTTCAACGAAAACAAATTTCGCTCCCTGGATGTAAAAGGACATTTTATACACGTTTCAATATTTCTCAGACTGTTTTTTTGGTAACCACCTTTTTATCATCTGAAAACAACACATGTACTTTGTATTTTGAGTCTTTCCTTGGAATGTTTTTTGAAAGTAACCTGATATCAATATTAAGCAAGACTAAAGCTGTGATCCCAAATGAAAGACTATAATTTTGTGTTGTTTACTGCAGGAAACTTACAGCTGGAAACTTGGCAATGATGACGAGAGTAACAAGAGGAAGGACCCGTACAACCTGTTTTATCTTCTTATTTGTGTCATCTAACTTCATACCTGTATCAGTACCAAGCTGAAAGCAAATCAGGTAGGATTAATTATTTGTAGATAATAAGATAATAATACAGTTATAATTTCATTCAAGTTTCTTCCATCTACCTGTTGTATGACCTTTGCAATGAAAAATCATATATACATACAAGAGGTATTTGTGTTCACCTTGTCATCCATCAAACACTTAAAATATGTCTATGTTAAAAACACACAAAAGATAAGTTAGCTACAGAAACGCTCATTATATATTAAGGTCATAAAGTCAATGGAAGAGCATCACTCCCTGGAAAATAACTGAACGCAAAAATATAGAGTAACAAGAGGCCTAGCAGGCTTGACGGTCACCTGAGATAAGCAATACTGAAAATAAAGGTTGAAGGATAGTTTTCAAGTGTCATGAAACAGAAATTGTGACATTGAATATATCAAGCCAGTGTCAATACATGCATACCATCAAAACTGTCATCCTATACTAATAATTCTTACAAAGTTATTTCCAACTTATGCTCAAATTTGCAATTTTCCTATGAATTACAGCATTTACAGTCTAAAAGAAATTCCTCCACAGGAGGAAATGTAAGATTCATTTTGGTAACTAAAGCACCTTATTCATACAAAGAATTTGATTTTATCATATCTGAGTGTTGAAAAGAAGAATTTTGTAATCTTAAGTTAATTTAACCCCTTTTGGCCCCACCCATCAGTCCCTGGAGGTCAGTCAGGATCAATATGAGCATCTAGCTGTCATCTTTCACTCAAAATTCTAACAAAGTTTGAAATATTTCCAAGGAAAACCAAACAAATTCTGTCCAAAAATCTAGTTTTCTTATATAAAATATAGTAAAATTTACACCCTCCCCACCGGAAAATGTGAGACCCTTTGGCCATGAAATTCACAAATTTGGTAAAGCACTTTAAGATGTTGCCATTCATGAAGAGTATTTTATTCCACTTTATCTGGGTGTTGAGAAGAAGATGTTTCAATCTGAGTCAATTTGACCCCTATTCACCCTGCCACTCAGGCCCATTTGGGATGGGGAGTGTATAATTCCTAATTTTGGTTCATCTTGGGCCAGGGAAGGTTTCTGCAAAATTTCATTGAAATTGGATCAGGGGTTTTTGAGAAGAAGTTGAAAATATTAAATTGTTTATGGATGCACAACGCCACATGAAGGTGATTACAAATGATTTTTAAAGAGAACAGGGTAATGTATTACACATCTGGGATAAGTAAGCATACCTCTACTGTCAAAAATAATGTTGAGGCAGTGAGAATAGGTAGGATAAACAGTGGATCTGGAACTGTCAAGTCTGTAACCCACCCAAGGCCTCCAGACTTTAAACTCTCCACTGGTACATTTGTCATTCCTCTCAGGCCAGTGAACACTGTCATAAATATAGGTGCCTACAACAAAAGGACATGGTAAGCACAAGCAACATCCACCTACAACACTTCATATCAATACTATAAACCAACACTCTTTTCAAGCTACTTACATATGTGATTTTTGTATCACAAAAAGTTTGTAACAATTGATTTTAAGAAAACAAACCTATACTGCAACTTGTTTATTACTTCTGTTTTAATTCAGAGTGATTGATATTTACAACATTTATGAGACCAAACTGAGAGAATGACATAAAGATATCATCTTGGACTATATATGTAATATATATATAAACAAGCCAAACTGGATTTTTTTTGAATAACTCATGAGTGCCTCAATCATGATTAGCAACTCTTTTGAAATGGAGGCCATTTTGACATGTCAGCATGCCAGCAAATGTTGAACTACTGAGTTGTGCTGTTCAATGCTCTCAACATATCATATTTTCTTCAAATGAATCTGATTTTAGCATGAAAAGTATCTATACACAGAGATTTAATAGACAGATATTTGATCTTTTCATTTAGTTCACAATACAATGTTCAAACTTTACCTTCTGTCTACATTGGGGTACTTTTCCATTACAAGAATATTTGTAGAAGGTGATCTAGTTTGAAAGGATCAATTATCCATCTTTGAGAAAAAATTTCCACTGCTTAAATATGTCATTTTTCCAAAACCTTTGAGGTATCATTGACAATATTCCAGTCGTTTGAACTCTGGCATACTCACTACTACCTTTCAAGTCTCTTATATTTAGTATATTTCCTCCTTATAAAGGTATCACTTTTCCCGAACAAACCGTCCATTAACTCCAGAGACAAACTTTTTACACTGTATATAATTTGATAATTGGCAATGCATATTGTTGTTTTTCACACCATACTGATTGATTTTCAATCTGAATGAAAGAAAAACAGTTATATGTACTTTTCAATGTTGCAAAAATATCTAATCTAATTTTGTAAAAATAAATCCATTTTATTTCAGATTATCAAGAGTCAAGATCTAGAACTGTCCAGAATTCAAATGGTTTAGGAAGTTTTAAAAATTTCATATCATATGGAAACAAGTATTCCAGCAAATATTTGTGTAAACAACATCTTCAAAAAATCCAAAATCTGAATTGATAATGTTTTAAGTCCATTGTTTGATGGAAATCATGTGAACAGCCTTTCACATACATATCCAGTGGGTGTTATTAAACATGTATTCGTAGACAATGAAAACAGGTCACTTAATACACTCCAATACTTCAAAGTCTCTAGATGTTTCCAAAGCCAAATCCAAATTCAAACTTCACTTGTCAAAGATTTTATCTTATCACCACAAGGAATGCTGACAAGAGTTTTATGTTACAAATAAAATGGATATTTTGGAAAAGTCACTTAATTAAATGCATGCAAAATCTACAACCATATATACCTGAGCAAACAGGACAGCAAAGTTTTTCAAAGGATGTACATCCTCTGCTTTCATGGTGTCTCTCAGTTCTTGATTACATTTCATTACTGAAAGTAAATAATGATAGTTAGAATATCATCTGATAACTCCACTGACCCTTGGATTTGCGTATCCAATGCTTTGTGTAGCATCTGTTTTTCCTGTCAATATTCAATTTGTATGAAACAATAAACTTGATAATTGACTCATAATTAAGGTTGCTTTCACATCTGTAGTTAAAAGGTTGGACCAGTTGCACCTATAAGAGATATGCCAGACACAGATCAGGATTAAGGGTGATGGCCAGCTATACTTGTCCAAAACTAACTGGTTTGAATATCCTTAGTTTTCTGAATCTCTGCATAAATCAAGGTCAGCACATATAAGATAATAAGTTAAAATGGAACATATTTCATTAATACTTTATTGTTTTATGTTTGACAGAAAACTCAGAAACTTTACAATTTGAATTTTACAAGTAAAATTTTGGAATAATTCCATTCTGCCTGAACCGTTCAAATTGGGTTTAAACACGAAAGCAACCTTAGAAATATAAGAAATAAAGTGATAATTTTTTGTTTCTTTTTCCCTGATTTTTCCCAGGAATCAAGAGAACAAATGGGCCTGCCTTTGTTTGATGCCTAGCATTCACAACCATGCTCTTAAGAATATGACATGAAACACAACGCTAGATTATTTCCAGTAACAATTAAGCATGTAAAATGTAAAAAAAAAAAGCTTCACTTTCTTGCTCTTCTCATTACCGTTCTTTTTTTCGTACGAAATTTCTTAAATCCATTTTTGTTTGCCAAACAATACTCAGTTGATATTAGTGTGCCCTCTAGGCTCAAATTGAGATCAGCACACGCTGAAATGCGAAATATGCATGCGCTGATATAAATAGATAAGCGCATTTCCAAACAGGTGATTTTCTAGCAGCAATAGCTCAAATGGCTTCTACCGGTTGGCAATGAACGCAAACAAAACCGCCAACTGCGATGTATCTGTAAAAATGTGCATCCCATGGGACTCATGGGTAATTTATTTAAGAGTCCAGACATAAGTTTTGGAGTAATATACGCAGGATTTGGCGTCCGGTAAATCCCTGTTGAACCTATCTCTGATAAGTGTTATACAATCTTAAAGATCTCACATACAGTAGTAAGTGTGCCCAACAAAGGAATAGAAAACAGCATGTTATTAATCATGAAGGCCAATAGTCAAAATACACTTGTCCTAGTCTGCACCATTCACACATAAATCTTTAATATCCTACATGCCATGAATGTAGGACAACAACATTATGGAAACCATTTTAAATCTGATGAAGGTTGAAGCTTAGGCTGTGCTTTCTGAATTTTTGTATGAAGAACACTCTTTCAATACTGTGCCTATACTGGAGTCATGTAGATACTATAATTAGTTTTTAAAATATATCCCAGAAACAATGAGGAAATGATGGCCATAATGAAATGATGAATGCTGTATAAAACCATTCCCTTTTCAAAACGAAAAAAAATCCCAATTTATTATACGCACATTCTAGCCTGTTTCCAGTTTTTTGTGCTCTAAAAACTCTGTCGTTGATTGCTGATAGCTTTGGAGCTGCATTTTGGGTCTTGGCAGCATTTCTTTGCACCATGACATTCAGTGGAAGCATTGCAAACCTTATTGCTACTGTAACTGGAAAAAGAAAAGAACAAGCAACAATTAATGATGAATTGGGGAAGTCAGTGGATCAAAACAATATACACACTTTACATAATCATTTTTACAATTCATCCGACTTGTACATTTGACACAGAACCTGTCACCTGAATTAAATTGAAAAGGTTAAATCTCATTTATTTATATTACATTGCCTTTAAATAGCCTTAGGTTTGCCAATCATTTAGGATTATAAGTTGTCAGAGAAGTTTAATCCGTTTGGATCTAGTCTTCTTTCAATCAAATTATATTCAATCATTCAGTCATATCTAAATATTTGTGATCTCAATGTTATTGCAGTCTGACTAATGGAAAAAAAAAAAACGGAAATGTCTAAAAGGACCTACCCACAGCTATGGCTCCTAGCCAGGTCAGTCCTTCAACATGCAATAATTCCAGGGCTTGTTGGTATAAACCTGCAGGCCAGTTACTTCCAATCCCCAAGCTCTGCAGGGTTGGCTCTCCCAGCGCATTGAGTGGAATTTCAGAAACATCAATATATGATGGCAGATTGGGTGGCTCAGGGAGGAAGTTAACTTGCTCCTAAAAACAAAATTTAAAACTGTGTCACTTCTGCAATATTGACATGTTCAAGGATTGGGTAAGCTTGTAACAAGAGAATCTTTAAAGGCAGATTGAAATTTCAAATCAGAATTACACATAGATACTCCGATTATTGAAAAATTTTGATACATTTAAAATTTAAGCCACATATTTATATTTAATTATATTGGCTATTAATTTGTAAGTTTGAATTAATTAAGAAATTCAGCAAATGCACTGATATCATGAACCATGTTCCAGGTTATATCATCGATGGAATAGTACAAGTGATACTATAGCCCAAAATCGAAGTTTATGTAGAGAAATGGGCAATAACTCTGAAATCATCAAAACTGAGAATCACAAATGACGAGAGTAGATGATCAACAGTGAGCATATAAAATTTTGTTTCTGGGTAAATTCTAACCTGTAGTTTTGGAAGACTTTTCCTTAATTGTAAATTTGTTTTCTTTTTTCAATTTTGTATTTTGAGTTTGCTTAAAAGGGTCCCATTTACTGTTCTTTTGACTGTTCTCCATTTTCTTATCCGAATAATGTTATATTTAGGTATTTTCCAGAGATACAATTTAGTTCACTAAAGCAACTCGACTAAATTACTGTTTTTGCTACTGCATATCGTACAACATTTTGCATTGAAACTGTTCCTAAAGCCTTCTGACACACAGGAATTCAAAAGAAACCCATATTTTCATGAATATGAAATTTAAAAAATTAATATTCAGAATGACAACTTTTAGTTATGATATATTGACCTCATTTTAAAGATACCCAAATTAACCCCTCCATGACTTTCAGGAGGTAGTCCTACTTATATTTAGTACTGTATTGTACTAATTTGTGTCCTCCTGACCACTACTCCTGAAGGTGAGTCCCACTTAAATTGTACAAATTTTGCGACTTCATAACCACCTGTCCAGGCAGTTGGCCATACAAATATCATATGTACAAATTTGTGCTCTCATGACCACTTGTTTGGGAGGTTATCTGTACATATATTTTACAGATTTGCGTTTTCACCTGTACAAGAGTTTAGCACCACTTACAGCTTCATTAAACCCTATCTTTTTCCTTTGGAAGAAGAAGGTAATACAAATGTAATACCTTGGGAATAAAAAATTGTTTCCTTAATACACACATAAAAATGAAAAACCCTTATAAGAATATCTAATTTTAGGCCTCATTAATTGAAAGAGGTTAAACTATGTGAAATTAGAATGTATCACAGATTCCAACATACTAATTCAAATTCAGGTTTGCTTGTAGTTGTTTCTGTGCTATTGTAACGTTGCACTCCACAAACACTCCATAGTTGGGCTTGACTTCTCTTGAACAAATCAAACTTGTAATTTTGAGTAGTGTTGGAAACACTTGATGATAGTGGATGCCTGCGGGATGCAACATGGAGACATCTTCTCGAGAAACTCTGTAAACATAGTACAAGAGACATTCAATTGAAAAACATTATTTAATACAGTTAGACAATGAATTAAACTGTCATACAGCCGTTTTGTCTTTCTAGAACTCATCTGTGATGCATAAGGCCTAAATTTAAAGCATTGCAGGTAAAAGTGGAAAATCTAAAGATATCGAAAGACTGTCAAAATCCAGATGGGGAGGTGCTCTCACTCAATAATTCAATCAATTTTGTAATTTTCATGCAACCCTGGTAAAATACTAGCTGCAACATACCACACGACTTGAGAGAACTTCTCTTTATCTCCATCATAGCAGAGCCATTGAAATAAATAATGACCTTTATTACACTGGCACCCACACAGGCACTAGGGAATAATACTTAGTGTTACTTTCATAAGCATTGCTGAACCTCGAGAAACTTGAGGATGAGTTATATCACCTGAAGGGGAAGTATGTAACTCTGGTAAAATACATGCCGCAATATACACTTCTCTTTTGCTTGATCAGTGGAATGTCAGACAAGTAAGCCAGAGGTCCCGGGTTTGAATTTTAGTGGAGGCTTTGAAATTAACAAGAGGCCCGATGGGTCTTTTAGCTCATGGAAGAAGTCATTGAAAGTCTAAACAAATTTGAACCCAGTGACCTGGAATAGGTCAAGGTCATTTCTTTTCGCAGACTTTATTGCCTCTAGTCAATTAAGTTAATGAGAAGAAGTGGTTTAAATGTTTTAACAAATTTGACCTCCGTGATACTGAATATGTCAAGGTCATGTCTTTTTGTAAACCTTTTTGGGCTTTATCCTAGGAACATACCAGCCACGGCCTCTAGTCTATTCAGTTCATGAAAAGAAGTGGGTTAAAGGTGTCAAGGTTCTTTATTTTTGAAAGTCTTGTCCAGCTTCATCTTAGGAACATACCAGCTAAATATTCAAACATTTAATCCATTGGTTATTGAGAAGAAGTTGTTTAAAGTATAAAGTTGATGATGAGCAATGGCCAGGTGAGCTAATAATGTCCTCTGTTACATTCATATATTTGATAATTTTAGAACAAGTACAAGTGCATATTCTGAAACGTACCACTATCTGAATTAATTGAAATTGTGTTATGCAGGTTATGACAAATCCCAGGGACTAAAATTTAAGTCCAACAGCAGTGTCAACCACCTGCAATCTCAAAGATTGCTCAATTGATACACAAGTGAATGGCATATGAAGAAGTAATGAAAAACACCCAGCTAGTGCTGGTTTTCGAATTAGTGACCTTTCTATCTCTAGTCAGACACTCTACTGCTCGGCTAAAGGAAAATACCCACTATCAAAGTCAGTAAGGAGACTTGTACTCTCAACTTCTACATTTACATAACAGATCACTTCTAGTTTAAAAATTTAAAACGATATTCCAATGAAATCATTGTTTCCCACCTGGAGCGCTCTCCGTCCGTCATATTATAGCCCAATTGAGAATCTATGATGTGTAAGTTAAAAAGACGACGACCGATTTTGTTACAAATATTTAAAATAATTTTGTGTTTCCGTTTCAAAATGACTCTGCAATTGAGTAAATACATGATTAGTCAAAGCAGTAACTATCCCTCAAAGGCAGGACAACAGTCCATACACGGGAATGTGTCCAACATGAGAAGTGGTCCTTTTCGTCTTTACTACTCCTTTTCGTGGTTTATCTTACCGCTGTAAAGGTGCCTTTCACATTCTAGCAGCAAGATCGCATGCAATAACTACACTGTTGTCATGGAATAAGAATTCATTAAAATGATCAAGATGACAAAATATATTAATCTAAATTTACCTCAGTAAAAGTTGCATTTAAGTTAAGGGAATTTCGCAACATCAGTTTTGACGTGAGCGACAGTAGCCGCACATGTCTGAGAGTCGCCATGATTCAAGTTTAATCTCTAAATAATAACACACCAGTTATTGGATTTCGCTTTACTTTATTTAGTCAAATTATTAAGAGGATGTATATGTTAACACAAAAGTCAATAATTTGCTCTTAACAACGGAACAGCTTGGTTTTGTTTTAAAATGTTATTGTTTAGTTATACTTATTTTGAGATTACCTTATCGGAACTCATAGAAGATTCTTAAATTTGAAGAAGTCAGAGGAGTGCAGAATAGAAAAAATAATATGGCGACGATAGTCCGCGTAAAACGACGGCGTGTTGAGGAACCAGTTGAAAATATACTCGTTTCTTGTAAAAGGAGAAAAAATGACGAAGAAGACTGTGAATTGCAGAGTAATTTAAAGTTTGCTGGAACTGCCAAATCACGGGTAATGAAATGATTGCAGTTTTGTCAATTTAGGATCTACTCGGTTACCAGCTGATTATTTATAAACTGATTCATATATGTTGCAGTGCATTGCACAACACGAACATGTACATGTCGCAGATACGTATGTATTATATATGTTTCTGGTATATGTACTGACAATACTGTAGATTCAGTAACATGTGTAAAGGAGGGGACTCGGTCTGAGTCTGAGAAACCTAACCCAGGTTCGTCGATCTTAAAACCACAACACTTAAATCCCTACATAACTCTACATATTTATTGCGTTACTTAAACTACCATAAAGCCTAGAAAGAGAAGAGAAAGAAAACAAGCCAACCAGTCTCATCATGACTACAAACCTAGAGAAAACTACCAGCTTTTATAGCAGAAATACAACAACCAATATGTTCCGATGGCCATACCTAATTCATTCCAAACAGTATGGTAGACGTGGTGTGGTTAGCTGTCGGATGTAATACAGAATGTTACACTTACACAATTCCACCATTTTCACACTTGTTTATTTAGAACTGCTGTAGGTGTACAACATCTATGATTTATTTTTGGTTCACATTCATGAAACAAACAATTTGTCTACTTGTGATACATGATAACTATCGGATGTAGGCACCTTTCTACTCCTAATTAGTCCAGCCTAATTAGAAAAGCTGTCAAACAAGGCAGTATCGGTGGTAATTTGAATTCATGCAGACAAGGATTCCTGATCTCTTTACACTCTTGTTATTTAGCCATTAATTAAAGTCATTGACAGGCATTCATGTTAAAACAGCAAAAACTGTTGCAGCTTTGATCAGGTGGAACTAGACTGTTAGGAAAAGGCAAGTTGTTGTATCAAGAGAAACAGAAATTTCTAGCCTTTAAAGAACATTTAAAAATGTTCAAAATGATTTCTGCTTGACAAATTGATAGATTACTGTTTTAGAAAGTATGTTCTTTGTGTCTGTGTATTTGTCCTCTTTAAAGACCAGAAACTACTACTTTTCACCTATGTCAAGTGAATGTCTCATCACCTAGAATTAAAAAGAAAAGTTACTGTTTACAGAATTTATATTCTCACTCCCTTGATTGTTAAAATGAAAAAAAAAGAAAGAAATTATAAAAAAAGCTAGGAAATCATTTTGTTTTCTGAATATAAGATTATGAAAATTATACAGCAAAATTATAAAGCCATAATGGTGAACCCATGTCATTGGGTAATCTCTTTCCGCATATGATGTCATACATGTTTCAGAAGAAGTGTTAATAGTAACGTCGACAGTATTAATGGTAACATCAAGTACCATTATTGTGATGTTACTGTAAAATACACAACTTTTGCATTAACTTGGTATTAGCAAACATGTTGATGGCTTACTTTCTGTGTATGTGCACTACGTCATAAGAATGTTGATATCAATTTTCCATTGAACAATATAGTGGCCCATAAGTAAAGTACATTTAAAAAAAAGGCATGGCAAAACATCAACAGAAAAAAAAAAAAACAATTTACAAAAATTACAGAATTCACCAAAGCAGGAAAAATATAGAAAAATATTTGAACATATAGAATATAAGTTTTTATGAGACAGCCAGTGGAAGATTTGAGTATGATGTTTGGAGAAAAAAGAATACACAAAATGGTAACAAAGTATTGTAGTCATTTCTACACTTTGTTTAACACTTGGTCATAGATGAGCCTGTGTTAGAGTCTATGTGAGAGGCGAAACATCATGAGGTGAAAAAATGTTTTTTTAAACAACCACATGGTTCATTATTTTCATAATTTCTTTTCTTGAAAGCAATTTTTAAGTGTAGTTTTATCAAAATATGAACTCTGTGACCCTAGTATGACCTATGACACTACATTTGACCTGGAAATATTTGACAGTCAAAAACTGATGACAGCTGAAAACTAAAGACAGTTGTATATTTTGGATTTATAGGAAGTATTTATGTGGAAGGAAAATGTACCGCTTGAGATGTTATTAAGCATGATTAATGTTGTTGAAGGTGCAAGATGGTCAGTGATGGAAATAGAAAGGCCATGAAATAATCTTGATTGTGGCCAACACAAGATTAAACAGCTCATAAGTAGTCAGTTGTTCTGAATGACAAGTTTGGTCAATGATCAGTAGCTTTTAATGGATGCAAAGAATGGGATGTAGTACTGTAGTGTCAGACTCAAACTGTTTGGGTGAAATGTTTATTTAGTTTTGAAATTTTATTATTCAAGTTTCTTTTTGGTAAAAGATTGATTTTGATTATTTTTATTCAGGATGAAGTATCTAAACACATTCGTGATGCTATCAGAAAGGAAAAGCTGCAAAGAGAATATAAACAGCACCATGTGGATGTTGTTACTAACACCCGACAAGACCACAAACAGCAGGTGAAGGCAGCAAGATTTAAGGTTACCTCAAAATTTAGAGCTCTGGCTTTGGATAATTTAGATCTGGCAAGAGATGAAACAGACTTTGAGAATAAAGAAAACAAAGAACCCAATGCAACTGAAGCAGGTAGCACTGTGTTTGAGTCGGAGAGCAGTGAAAACCAGACCAGCAGTAGTGTGTTTCAGTTGTATGATGTAGAGGTGGCAGGTAGCTCTGGGACATTGCCAACTTATGAGTCCCTCTTACAGGTACAGTGTTACATTAGTCCAGGCCTTAATTCATTTTCTCTTGCTAAAGGACACTCTTGGATCTTTCAATAGACTTTTGAAGTTATGTTTTGACTCTCCAAAATTAGTTATGAACATTTTTATGTGTTTTGATCATGACCTTCAAAAAATCTTGGAAAAGTTTATTTTTTCTTTGAAAAGACCGGATGCCATTCGTCTAGTTTCTTCTAGTTTCATGTGTACAGTCTAAAGTGGAATCATCAGGACCATACATATAAAGGCATCTGGTAGTCTCAGAATTTAACTAATGGTAGCGGTATTCTTTTGATGTATTGTATCAAAATCACCAGGTGTTTAAGCATTGCAGGTTATATGGGATTTGCCAGCATTGTAGGTCAGTGTTATTTTACACAAAAAAAATAAAAATATACAAATGTTATCTGCCCTTTTTTTGGAAACTGATTTGTTTTATGATGAATGGAGTTTTTGTTCTTGTTTGTATTAAGAAATTGAAACATTTCTTTTACATGTAAGTGAAAAACATGTATATTCTGTCATTCTTGTGAAATACATAGGATATTAAACAGGAAACTATTAAACATCTACATATTTATGATGATATTTATTTTGTGATTTGTTTAATTACCTGCTTGTTACTTTCATTATTTTGGTTTATTTTTGACTTCAGACATCACAAAGCAGCAGTGGTATCACCTGTAATACTGTACCACTAGTACAGGAGCATGTTCCCGAGTCTAAGGACGAAGATTATGTGTATGACTTGTATTTTACAAACAACAGAGATTTTAGCTTCAAACTTCTAGAAAGTGCATTGACGATTGAGGCATTTGGGAATTACTTTGTCTATGAGGACATGCCACAGCCAGAGGAAGAGGAGGTGTACGAAGATGAAGATGATAGTAACGATGAAGACAACTGGAGGAATGATTATCCAGATGAAGATCCACACTTGGTAGATAACCAGTTGGAGAGAGACTTTTATTATGGTGGTGGTAAGAGACTTTTTTTATTGTTTTATAGTTTAGTGAAAAATCTTAAGTTTTAATATATTAATGGATAGTAAATCAAGTAAAATATCTCCATCACAACAGCCTAGGTGTGTATGGTCTTCAATTTTTATTAGGGGTTCATTGACTGGTTTCACCATCATGTCCTGATGAAGCCTGAGAGAAGCAAAACCAGTCATCCTGATGAAGCCTGAGGGGGCAAAACTGGACGACGAATACCTAATAGAAATTGAAGACCCTACACTCCTAGGCTGTTGTGATTGATATATTTTATTTGATTTGCTCTATTGATCCATCACCCTGCATACCTTTGGGTATCCAGTTGAGGAGTGAAGGAAAACCCAACTAGCATGTACGATGTTGGCTCTACCATCTACACTCTTAATGGATAGTAGCTACATTAATAAGTGTGATGTTGTAGAGTTGATAAGGAAGTCCAGTTCTTGTTAAAAGTGTTTTAATCGTATGCATGAATTTATTTTACAATAAGCATCCTTTACTATATCTAAGTTTAGATGTAGAGATGTTGTTGCTCAGGCAAAACCAGAGTGAGCGGGCATCCTGTCAGTGGAGACTAGCCTCTCTCCTATCTGGCCTCCGTTCTTCTCTACTCTCACAGACTAAGAGAGGTCTATTTATACTAAAATGTTATAAAACTGTTGGTAGAGTAATATTACGCATTGGATGATAGGCTAACAAAGATTGAGTAATACATAAGTAGTTGATATAGACTTAAACATGAGAATGGTTGCAGATTAAGTTGTTTTCTACAAGATTAGTATACTCCGGCCTTCATCCAACTGTCTAGATAGGGCTCAGGTAATTGCTTATATAATCAGGGAATGAATGAATACATGGACATGTGTAGTAGATTAAGTAACAACGGTATGTCTGGCTACTGGTCAGTAATTGTCCACTGGTCGATAGACGTCAGTAAGAAATGAAGCTAGTCTCATTCTGGCATTTAAATTATATGAAAATCTTACATATGTCTAACTGAACACAATTTTGAATAATTCAATTAACTCGCATATTAACTTTTAATAGTTCATTTGTTCACCCTTTGAATTTCCACAATTCTACAAAAAAAAGAAAATGCTTGTCTAATTTACTGAAAGATATTGATGATCTGCTCTTCCTGTATTTCAAAAGTATCTGATATTTTCGTGTTCAGTTGCAGAATGTTAGAGAATTAAAATTTGTGTTGCAAGGTAGCATGGTTGCTAAACATTTGAAAGACTTAAAACTGAAAACATCACATCAGTAGTATATAGACTATATTCTGTAAACTGTGTTTCACTTAGTTGTCTAATACCCTGTCTAGTGTAGTAATATTTCACTGTTATTAGAACCTGTTTGTTTACAGACATGATGGAGCGACAAGCTTTTGCAGCTGCTGGTGATGAAGGGTTGGCAGAGTGGATGCACACTCGCTGTAACATAGGTAAATATCCATCTTCCTGAAACAAATTGATAAAGAGCTTCAAAATGTTAATTTCATTTCTGAATGTTTCTTGTGGCAAAAATCTTGAACAAGGTAATTGTTATATTATCCACATCAATAGTACTTACTGTAGGAATCAGTATAAATGGTACAGACTGTAGGTATAAATGGTACAGACTGTAGGTATAAAATGGTACAGACTGTAGGTATAAATGGTACAGACTGTAGGTATAAATGGTACTGACTGTAGATATCAATGGTACAGACTGTAGGAATCAGTATAAATGGTACAGACTGTAGGTATAAATGGTACAGACTGTAGGTATAAATGGTACAGACTGTAGGTATAAATAGTACAGACTGTAGGTATAAATGGTACAGACTGTAGATATAAATGGTACAGAGTGTAGATATAAATGGTACAGACTGTAGGTATAAAATGGTACAGACTGTAGATATAAATGGTACAGACTGTAGGTATAAATGGTACAGACTGTAGGTATAAATGGTACAGACTGTAGATATAAATGGTACAGACTGTAGGTATAAATGGTACAGACTGTAGGTATAAATGGTACAGACTGTAGGTATAAATGGTACGGACTGTAGGTAGAAATGGTACAGACTGTAGATATCAATGGTACAGACTGTAGGAATCAGTATAAATGGTACAGACTGTAGGTATAAATGGTACAGACTGTAGGTATAAATAGTACAGACTGTAGGTATAAATGGTACAGTCTGTAGGTATAAATGGTACAGACTGTAGGTATAAATGGTACAGACTGTAGATATCAATGGTACAGACTGTAGGAATCAGTATAAATGGTACAGACTGTAGGTATAAATGGTACAGACTGTAGGTATAAATGGTACAGACTGTAGGTATAAAATGGTACAGACTGTAGGTATAAATGGTACAGACTGTAGGTATAAATAGTACAGACTCTAGGAATCAATATAAATGGTACAGACTGTAGATATAAATTGTACAGACTGTAGGTATAAATGGTACGGACTGTAGGTAGAAATGGTACAGACTGTAGATATCAATGGTACAGACTGTAGGAATCAGTATAAATGGTACAGACTGTAGGTATAAATGGTACAGACTGTAGGTATAAATAGTACAGACTGTAGGTATAAATGGTACAGACTGTAGGTATAAATGGTACAGACTGTAGGTATAAATGGTACAGACTGTAGGTATAAATGGTACAGACTGTAGGAATCAATATAAATGGTACAGTCTGTAGGTATAAATGGTACAGACTGTAGGTATAAATGGTACAGACTGTAGGTATAAATGGTACAGACTGTAGGTATAAAATGGTACAGACTGTAGATATAAATGGTACAGACTGTAGGTATAAATGGTACAGACTGTAGGTATAAATGGTACAGACTGTAGGTATAAATGGTACAGACTGTAGGTATAAATGGTACGGACTGTAGGTAGAAATGGTACAGACTGTAGATATCAATGGTACAGACTGTAGGAATCAGTATAAATGGTACAGACTGTAGGTATAAATGGTACAGACTGTAGGTAGAAATAGTACAAACTGTAGGTATAAATGGTACAGTCTGTAGATATAAATGGTACAGACTGTAGGTATAAATGGTACAGACTGTAGATATCAATGGTACAGACTGTAGGAATCAGTATAAATGGTACAGACTGTAGGAATCAGTATAAATGGTACAGACTGTAGGTATAAATGGTACAGACTGTAGATATCAATGGTACAGAGTGTAGGAATCAGTATAAATGGTACAGACTGTAGATATCAATGGTACAGACTGTAGGAATCAGTATAAATGGTACAGACTGTAGGTATAAATGGTACAGACTGTAGGTATAAATGGTACAGACTGTAGGAATCAGTATAAATGGTACAGACTGTAGATATAAATGGTACAGACTGTAGGAATCAGTATAAATGGTACAGACTGTAGGTATAAATGGTACAGACTGTAGATATAAATGGTACAGACTGTAGGAATCAGTATAAATGGTACAGACTGTAGGTATAAATGGTACAGACTGTAGATATAAATGGTACAGACTGTAGGTATAAATGGTACAGACTGTAGATATAAATGGTACAGACTGTAGGTATAAATGGTACAGACTGTAGGTATAAAATGGTACAGACTGTAGGTATAAATGGTACAGACTGTAGGTATAAATGGTACAGACTGTAGGAATCAATATAAATGGTACAGTCTGTAGGTATAAATGGTACAGTCTGTAGGTATAAATGGTACAGACTGTAGGTATAAATGGCACAGACTGTAGGTATAAATGCTACAGACTGTAGGAATCAATATAAATGGTACAGACTGTAGGTATAAATGGTACAGACTGTAGATATCAATGGTGCAGACTGTAGATATAAATGGTGCAGACTGTAGGTATAAATGGTACAGACTGTAGGAATCAATATAAATGGTACAGACTGTAGGTATAAATGGTACAGACTGTAGGTATAAATAGTACAGACTGTAGGAATCAATATAAATGGTACAGACTGTAGATATAAATCGTATAGACTGTAGGTATAAATGGTACAGACTGTAGATATAAATTGTATAGACTGTAGGTATAAATCGTACAGACTGTAGATATAAATGGTACAGACTGTAGGTATAAATGGTACAGACTGTAGATATAAATGGTACAGACTGTAGGTATAAATGGTACAGACTGTAGGTATAAATGGCACAGACTGTAGATATAAATGGTACAGACTGTAGGTATAAATGGTACAGACTGTAGATATAAATGGTACAGACTGTAGGTATAAATGGTACAGACTGTAGGTATAAAATGGTACAGACTGTAGGTATAAATGGTACAGACTGTAGGAATCAATATAAATGGTACAGTCTGTAGGTATAAATGGTACAGACTGTAGGTATAAATGGCACAGACTGTAGGTATAAATGCTACAGACTGTAGGAATCAATATAAATGGTACAGACTGTAGGTATAAATGGTACAGACTGTAGATATCAATGGTGCAGACTGTAGATATAAATGGTGCAGACTGTAGGTATAAATGGTACAGACTGTAGGAATCAATATAAATGGTACAGACTGTAGGTATAAATGATACAGACTGTAGGTATAAATGGCACAGACTGTAGGTATAAATGGTACAGACTGTAGATATAAATGGTACAGACTGTAGGAATCAATATAAATGGTACAGACTGTAGGTATAAGTGGTACAGACTGTAGATATAGATGGTGCAGACTGTAGGTATAAATGGTACAGACTGTAGGTATAAATGATACAGACTGTAGGAATCAAACAGGAAATAATTCCATTATATTAGCAGTATGTAGGGATGTTACCCTTAAATCTATGTACCAAGAAAAAAAGATTTGGTATGGCCTATTTCAAATGTTTGAGAATATAAACAAAGCTACTTACAATATATTTTATCTGTTTGCAGAAGATGGTGATGAGTTGTCAAGCGAGGAAGAAGATGCAGCTTACTTTGGTGAGCCTCTTAACATGAGCAGTGATTACCAAAGTTACTACCGGAAAGTCCGCAGAGAAATGGAGGATGGTGATGGCTGCGCTCGTCCAGATGATGATGATGATGAAAATGACTGAAAATTGTTTTACTTAACTTTTACATCGAAACCTGCCAGTGGACAAAACATAGTACAATGTAGATGTTGTCATGTAAAACAGTCCCATCAGTCAGAGTAATCAGGTTTTAACCATGCTATGCCTAAAAAGACTGAATACACATGTAACCTACCACCCTTTATAAGAATTCCAGAATTAGAGCACTAAGCAAATTGGGATGTACGAGGAAGAGGTGGTTAAAACTTTCTTGTCAAGGTTAGACTTCTGGCCAGAGATGTTTCAGCACATTAAAACCATTTAGCTTTGATAATTTAATAATTTGTATTAATAAATATTTATCACGAGATTTAAAATATTATTTTAGTTTTTATTCTCTTTCTTGAAAACGTCAAGGGCTCCAACTTATCACAACCACTTTTTGGTGTATGCAGGTATATCATAAAAAAGGCTGTTCAAATTGCCTTTTGTACTAAGTATGTCCTTAGAATCACTGGATGAATCTTTCTCAAATTTTAATCAAAACTCCATTGGAAGTGTTCTAATTTTAAAACTGATCAGAGAACAAAATGCCTGATGGGGGGGGGGGGGGCATCTTTGATTTTGACAATTGCAGTTTGTTATCGTCGTCTCTGGAGAAATTCCAGGTTGATCTTTCTCACATTTGCTATGTTGACTCTTAGTAACTTGTAATGCCCTTTTACTTTGTTAACTATGTGAGTGATTGTTAAACAAAATGGCTGGCAGGCAGCCATCTTCCAGTTAGACAAAGTTTGTTATCTCTATTTGTGAGAAGTATTGATGAGGTCTTTCTCAGATTTCAAGTCTTTATTTTGAGACTGATCTGGATAGGAAATACATGACAGGAAGCAGCCACACAAATTGCCCCGTGTCATGCAATAAGGTCTGCATACTTGAGGCTCTGTGGTTCGTATGCCTCTTCACAATTCTCCTTCTGTGACACTGTCAGTTCCACTACAAGGAAAGATTTCAACTGTTGTCTGGCCTAAATGTTTTGTCCATCATGCAAGAGAATAAATGTTTTCAATCAAAGTCTGCCTGCAGCATTCAGTTCCTTCCTCTGTCCACCATCAATGTTCTGACTAGTCTCCTTCCCACAGCTGTCTCACTTTGTTTGAACAGCTTTTCTTTTCCCACCTTTGGATGCCCTCTACTACTTCTGCCAATTCACAGAGGACGCCATCTATATTGCCCTTGTATCATCAATGTTACCGGATATTCTTACAGCATGGAAAACATCATCCACAAAGCTAACTACTAGAGGCCTCTGTTAGTCTCCATTGCTGAAGATACCAAGGCAGTGTGTCATGAACTGCTCTTAGGGGGATGGTCTATAAATAGCTACAACTGTCATTCTGTCCTGTCCCATTCTGAATCAATATCGTATCTTGAGAGCCTTGTAGTAGAACTTGTTTATATTTACCTCATCATAGCATCAGGTTCTACACCTGGTCAGATGTTGTTGTGCGTACGAGTTATTCATGTCTAGACATTTTCTGGGTTTTCTTACAGTTTATATATATAGATATCCTCTCAGATAAAATTCAGATTTTCCACATTGGCTTTGATTCAATGTGATGACATGGAGATGTATTTTTTGAACACCATTTTGTTTAACTATTTTTGGAAGAGAAAAGCTGCCAGTGTATGCCTCACGTTTTTGATATTAAGGTTGTAAGAATATTATTCTGGTTTTTTCACCACTTCTCTTTAACACTGATACCAAACATGTAGGTCTGCACCATTTTGATTCTTGCAGCTATTATCTTAACAAGATATGTCGTCTGTCAGTTTTAAAACATTATTATACACACTTGGCAGACTTAATCGTGATCATTGGACATCAAACTGTTGACAATCCATACCCCTTTTATCCATGGTTAGTCTGACATAACAATTTTATGCCTCCCCTCAACACTATGGGTGCATTTCATTTTTTTGAGAATGACTCAATGTTATAGATTGACACCAGTCATTTTGAATTTTGACAATTGAAATTTATGGTTCTTTCTTCAAATAATTACTCCATGGATCCAAGTCTGAGATATAATTATGGAGAATAATCCAAATGCATTCTATACATTTTCATTTTGTGATCAGTTTCTCAAGAACCACTTTTGTGACAAGGATATTGGTGAAAATGGTGATGCTCCCTAAAAACAAGTTAATGGGACACCAAATTAAAAAAATAAGGGTGACAATTCTCAATTTAAGGGTTTTTTTAAGGCCTTGAATTTGGTACAATGTACTTCCTGTTGGTAGGACCAATGTATATTTGTTATGCTTGCATATTCTCTTAGTATGACAGCAAGTTTCATTCTCCTATCTTAAAGGCAAGCAAAGTTATGTGGTGCCCATAAAATTATTACAAAGGGCAATGCTTTTGTAATTGAGCAGTTTCAGGCCCTGATTTTGTTTTTTAGAATAGATATTGTCCATTGTTGTTTCTGTAATGTTTATCTTTTCTCAAGATCTTTCTGGTTTTACAGATTTCTTCACACTTTGAAGTTTAATCTTTTTGAGTATTTTCCCGGTAGACAGTTTGATTTTACTGTATTTAAAGGAGTTACTGCCCCTTAATCTTGAAAGCCATAATCTCTCTTAATTTTCAGGCAATTTCTGACAAACTTGGTAAGCTTAATCACAATGACATGACGTTTTCCTACACAGCAGTCTGATTCAGCAATTTTAGAAGGAGTTATTCCCCCTTTTTTTGACATGTCGTTTTAGTATGGATATCACCTTCCTCAATTTTTCACAAATTTCTCTGAAACTTGGTAAGATTTATCACCATAACATGAAATGGTGTTTCCATTTCTGACATTGTGATTTCACAATTTGGTAAAGTGTTATTGCCTGGCTTTTTTATCTCCTCTTTCAGTTTCTTTCTTTCTTTCTTTTTTTTTTTTTTTTTTAAAGTTTTCTATCCATCTCTTTAAAAGTTGATACACATTAATTTTTCTTTAGAATATATAGCACTATTTCCATACCTATCTTTGGCATGGGATGGACATATATTATTCTGCTCTGCGGTACTCTTGTTTCATATTACAAATCAGGACAAAGGCTTATAACAGAAGAACCTATACAAACATAGATAATTATTTACATTTTGAGGAGAAACAATTGTTTCCACACCTAGATTTTGCTGGTTTTACTAAGATGCTAAGTATGGCTGGGAGATAAATCAGGCTGTCCAGCACTTCTTGACAAAAAATTAGGGCTAAATTTAGGGCTAAAATTACAAAATTTCAGGGCAAATTTAGGGCTAAAATTAGGGAGTATGAAAGCATTAAACTGACTTACCTTTGCAAATTTGACAAAATAGAAATTAACATACAACGCCTTAATTGCAGGAAAGGTGTCTTCCAGGGTTTCAGTGTCCCAGCTGCTGTTGGCTGTGACCTTAAGAATCACACCTCTGTCACTCAGTCACAACCAATAACAATATGGGTACATAGATCCACTGGTCAACTGCCTTTCATTGTCTACCCTGAATTAGAACTACAGACTACTTTGAAATACATTTTAAGTATGAAAACATTTTCTGTAAATTGTAAGAAATATAAAAAAAAGTAGGAACTGAAGTGAAAAATTTGGGCTTTTTTAGGAATTCCCTTTGAATTTTTCATTTTTTTAGGAATTTTAGCAAAACTGAAAAAAATTCGGATTTTTTTAGGAATTTTAGGGACGCTGGACAGCCTGATAAATGCATTCCGCAGAAGTTAGAGGATAGGTCTAGAAAACCTGTGTAAACTGAAGAAATCTGGCTGATACAAGTTCATTATATTCAAGTCATGACATTTATTTCTAGTAACTTCTGTAATTCTGTATCGCAGTATTTAGATTCTACTTCTGTAGCACAATTTGTTACATGATACCAAACTCTGTACATACTTGTTCATGGTGAACTAGACAAAAGGAAATAGACATTTTGTGTTTTAAGAAATTTAATATCTCCAGTGTATCACAGAAATTGTCATAGGCAACAACAAAGATTTAAATAATTAACAATTGTATTTATATTTATACAGTAGTTTCCATAAATATACAAATCACATGACCAAAATCTTACTGGTCAATCCTGCAACCACTGATATCCATGACCTATAAAGATGGAAATACTGAAATATTTATTGGGGTTTTAATTTTGCTATAATGTATACCGAGAAATTTTCCTCTTTCCTTTTCTTATTCATATTCTGATAGCCTGAAGTTAAATACTAGCAAGCAAACATATATATAGTGAATCAAAATATCAGGAAATATCTGTAATATGTCTGTATACATCAATACCAATAGACAGATAAGCAGGAAATTAAACACCGGCCAACTAACCTAAACCAGGACAACAAAGAAATTATCCGCCAACTAACCTAAACTGGGACAACAAAGAAATTAAATACCCGCCCACTAACCTAAACTGGGACAACAAGGAAATTATCCGCCAACTAACCTAAACTGGGACAACAAGGAAATCAAATGCCCGCCAACTAACCTAAACTGGGGCAAGGAAATCAAATACCTGCCAACTAACCTAAACTGGGACAACAAAGAAATTAAATACCCGCCCACTAACCTAAACTGGGACAACAAAGAAATTAAATACCCGCCCACTAACCTAAACTGGGACAACAAGGAAATTATCCGCCAACTAACCTAAACTGGGACAACAAGGAAATCAAATGCCCGCCAACTAACCTAAACTGGGGCAAGGAAATCAAATACCTGCCAACTAACCTAAACTGGGACAACAAGGAAATCAAATACCTGCCAACTAACCTTAACTGGGACAACAAGGAAATTACCCGCCCACTAACCTAAACTGGGACAAGGAAATTAAATATCCGCCCACTAACCTTAACTGGGACAACAAGGAAATTAAATACCCGCCCACTAACCTAAACTGGGACAAGGAAATTAAATGCCCGCCAACTAACCTAAACTGGGACAACAAGGAAATTAAATACCTGCCAACTAACCTAAACTGGGACAACAAGGAAATCAAATACCTGCCAACTAACCTTAACTGGGACAACAAGGAAATTAAATACCCGCCAACTGACCTAAACTGGGACAACAAGGAAATTAAATACCTATGGTTATTATACTGCTGCCAGAGGCTAGAAAGCCACTAGTATTACAATCTGCATTTATCCAACAGTACTTAAACTCTTTCTGAATGCATGGTATGAAACTCCAAGCTCAAATGTGTTATTAAGAGGATGACATTTTTTATTCTAATACTGGCTGTAACCAGTAAGTAGTGACTTACCTATAACAGTTTATAATAACACGATTCTAACAGGTACAAACAGTCATGGCCGTCTTAACCTCCTCTGTCACAGTAACAGTGTATCATAACACGATTCTAACAGGTACAAATACAATCATGGCCGTCTTAACCTCCTCTGTCACAGTGACTGGGTATCATAACACGATTCTAACAGCTACAAACAATCATGGCCGTCTTAACCTCCTCTGTCACAGTGACTGGGTATCATAACACGATTCTAACAGCTACAAACAATCATGGCCGTCTTAACCTCCTCTGTCACAGTGACTGGGTATCATAACACGATTCTAACAGGTACAAACAATCATGTCCGTCTTAACCTCCTCTGTCACAGTGACTGGGTATCATAACACGATTCTAACAGCTACAAACAATCATGGCCATCTTAACCTCCTCTGTCACAGTAACGGGGTATCATAACACGATTCTAACAAGTACAAACAATCATGGCCATCTTAACCTCCTCTGTCACAGTGACGGGGTATCATAACACGATTCTAACAGGTACAAACATGGCCGTCTTAACCTCCTCTGTCACAGTAACAGTGTATCATAACACGATTCTGATGGTACACAAATACAAATAATATCAACGAATAATATATTTCTATTTCTTTATCAGGTATATATTGGTGCGAAAACTATGAAACAAAAATAGCTGTATATAGTGCAGTCTCCTAGTAGGTTTGGTTTAAATACATTGTATTATAAAGTATTTCTGGAGGATATTTAGCTGTATATAGTGCAGTCTCCTAGTAGGTTTGGTTTAAATACATTGTATTACAAAGTATTTCTGGAGGATATTTAGCTGTATATAGTGCAGTCTCCTAGTAGGTTTGGTTTAAATACATTGTATTACAAAGTATTTCTGGAGGATATTTAGCTGTATATAGTGCAGTCTCCTAGTAGGTTTGGTTTAAATACATTGTATTACAAAGTATTTCTGGAAGACATTTAGCTCAGACATCAGGTGACTGGAATAACTGTATTTATATCCTTGTACAAACTTTTGGACAAGCTTATTTTCCTTGTCTTAATTAGCTGAAATTTTTTTTAACTAGCAGAAGAAATATGTTTGTTCTAAGATATCAGGGTTGTATCTCATGTCGTTCATCTGCTTTCCTTTGTCATCTGAACAAGGATGAATATAAATCTCCGCAGTTTCAAAACAAAGCCTTAATATCAACAACAAAATGTGATTAACTGAATCCAAAGAATATTAATATATATACTTGAGATTGTTGAGATCATTTCTTATAATTTTTTTAAGTTCATTAGAGGCTTGTAACTATGATGAAAATGTCTGATTTCATCATGTTCATTAGATATTAAATAAACTGTACACTTGTGTACAGTTTTGATATAATGTATTACCACTATAATTTAAAAAATCATTGATGAGAAGGGAAAACTGTTCAGTATCCTGGCTACATTTCCAATTCTGTAATCCTAATATACCAAGGTTATAAACATAAACCAGTGATAAATTATTTTTATTTACTACCAGGAATGGCAAGTATTCCCCAAAATGGTGTTTTCCCTTTGGAATATTAACAAATTCCCCATAAAGAAAGAAGACTTAAAACATGGGAAAATTCTCCCAAAATAGAGAAAACAGCTAATTTCAAATCATACCATCATGAGAAAGAAATATCCAATCTTGTCAAATTTTATTCATGTTATGTTTATGTATATCATCTTTATCTTATTTATCCCATGTTGGAATTCTGACCAAAAGGGCTGTCTGAAACATCAAATTTTGAGTAAATGATCATACATGTAGTAGTGAATGTCACTGACTTTCTAGTAATGTTTAGGAGTCTTTTCCTGTTTTATTGTAAGGTTTCATTAAGGCAATTTGAACAGATAAAATATTGACAGGAATTTAGATTTACAATTCTCTAGACATATAAATAATATAACAGTGTACACCTTGTGAATAAAGAACAATTATATTTACATTATATCTAGAGAACAGCTATGTAGCTGACCTGAAATCTGAGGTCATTGTCTTTCTTTACACCATAAAGCTGTCATTTTCAAGGATGGAATAAGAAGTAAAAAAAAAAAGAAAACTAAAAAAAACCCCCACAAAACTGACAGAGAAATAACAATCTATTACATGATTCTGCAGAAAAATAAATCCATTTCGCTTTCAACTTTTGGTATCGTAAATCAACAACCTTCACAGTACTGTAGCTGAATTACCTGTAACACCTGAACTTGTTCCATTCCAAATCAAATGATTCGCTCAGAGATATAAATTCTTGCTGTTAAAATTTTAGCTTCAAGCAGGAATGTATTAAAATAAAACAATTTGTCTCAATCAATTTACAAGTAGATAGAGTTATACACTAGACTCTTGTAAGGTGATGTCCTTGGTGATGGAGTTGATACTTTCTGTCCGTGGCTTGGCATGAGCCCCATCTATCCAGTCTTTGAGAGAGACAGGAGTGAGACTTTTCTCACGGTGAATCTCCACCGAGCAGGTGATCTGGTTCTGTAAGGGAATGCCGTTCATCTGGACCTCAGGTCCTTTAGGCTGTTCATGCTCGCCAGGTGACCTTTGACCTTGATTACTAACAAACTTCCGATGGTCAATATCCGAGTTTAGGGAATTTAACAATACCTCATTGTTCTGATCATGATCTCCTGAAATACAGGTGATAGATGCTGAAGATGGATGTGTGCTCCTCAGCATGCCCTCTGTAGCTGCTTTTTTGTCCATACCAATCTGACCCAAAGTCTCATGGCTAGCTGACTTACACATCCCATTGTTCTTTGCAGCATTACCGACATCACTACTATGTATAGCTTTAGTAGCTTCATTGTTCCTCCTGGTGGGATCAACAATGCTATTACCTATAATCTTGTCAATACTACTTGTGGCCTTACTTGTACTGTTACTCATACTATTTGTCGTGTCCTTGTTAGCTTGAGAGACATCCGTTTTACTTGATGTGTTACCAGTGTCCTTGTTAGCTTGAGAGACATCCGTTTTACTTGATGTGTTACCAGTGTCCTTGTTAGCTTGAGAGACATCCGTTTTACTTGATGTGTTACCAGTGTCCTTGTTGCTCGTTACTGATGCCCCATCATTGTTACTTGTAGTCTTATCTTGAGCCTCCTTATCATTTTTGACAATAACTCCACCAGAATTATCATCTCTCTTCTCATTATCAGGCGAACCAATAGTTATCCCTGGAGTGCTATTTTTATCATCGACTTGCATCACTGGAGGTACATTCTTTTTCACTTGATCTTCACATGTCACATTTTGAATGGTTTGTGTATTTTTTCCTTTCTTGTCAACTTCACACTTTTCACTAACTTCAGCTTTTGGCCGTGAATTGTTCTCTGCTGTTTCTTGATCACCTCTACGCACACTTACTGATGGCTCATCCTCCTCAAAAAATGAAGACATCAGTTCCACCTCATCCTTTCTATTCACACCCACCACATGATTCTGTTTTGTCAGTACCTCTACAATCTTTTTTACTTGTGCCTCATCCTCGACACGACTATGACGCCTGGTTTTTACAACCTCCGGTGTAGAGAGGGCCTGCTTGATAACCCAGTTACAAGTTTCCTCGTAGTTTCCAGTGAGCTTTGGGCTGACAAATGGTTCTTTATTACTGTGGATGCCGTTGGTCTTGGATACACTTTCTGGTCGACTGCCATTTTTAGGCATCTGTTCTCCTGTCAATGAAAATAAAATATGTTTCAGGTATCTATTGCATAATCATGATTTGAAGAAAAGAAAGAAAAACAAAAAAATTAATCCACACTTGCATTTAAATTGCTTTTTTTTTTTTTTTTTAAACCCATGAAAATTGAGTGCCACAAAAATACCTGATTTTACATTAGTCAGATCTGCTTTCTGTATTTCAAAAACAATTGAATAGCATATAGTTTATAACACAACAAAAGATGATAGTGTTAGCAGGTTTGGACTGATGGACAAATATGTTCTAGCATTAAAGTTCTCTACCATTAACGCGATGGTCTGTGTTAGACCAACAAAACTGTTTTCTGTTATTGTAATATTTCATGAAATACTAATCACGGTAAACAGTACATGTGATTTGAATAACGACATGATTTTGTTGGTATCAAAATAATGTTGGGCATGAAAGGAGTTTTAAATTTGTACACTAATTTGATCTCATTTTGTGAAGTAATTTTCATAACAGATAGCTATGACACTTTTTTCCAAAAAATTTGTGCTCCCTCCCCCAAGGAAAATTGGTTAAAAAACTATCTGGAACTAAAAGTCTGAACTACTTTCAGAATAAAACAGAGAAACAAATTTATCAGTATAATTAGCTAAAATATTAACTTCTGCCAATAGAAAAGAATGGAAATTTCAAAATACCAATGTGATAGGAATAGAAAATGTTCCGACTCAACTGAGGTGATGTTTTTGTTTTTTGGACCAACCCGAAAAATAATACTTACTTGGTCAGGACCATCTCAGGCAAGTTTCAGCTAAATCCTAGTCTAGGAGAACTTGAGGACTTTAAAATTGATGTTATTCAGTGAACCTTGATTGTACAATCAACAATGAAACTTATGAAGAAGTTTAAAATGTTTTTCTCAAGATGGCAGCCATATTGGAATTTGGACTAACCTAAGAAATAATAACACATGATCATGACCATCTCAAGATCATTCTAGGCAAGTTTCAACTAAATGCCAGTGATGGAACTTGAGAAATTTGAAATGTGAAAAGTTTATTTGCTATGGACAGTGCTTGACAAGGTTATCGTGACCCTTTGTGTCAGATAATCTAATTACTGAAGTATTTGCTAATTTGATGCCATGGGGTACAGACATCATGACCTCATACTATTTAACTGATAGGAATGCTGTTATACAAGTTTGTTTGTCAATTGGACTTACCTGGGTCTGTATTGAGCACATTTTCATTAGTGTTTAGTGTGTCAGTATGTAGCAGCTGTTCTCTCTCTGATTCAGCCAACCCAGATTCATATGTCTCTTGATCCATTAGCTCTGCTTCAAGCATCTGGCTGTAGAAATCCTCTGCTTCATCTGCATCTGGCAAAGGCTTGTCAACAATCTGTTTTCAAGTTAGGAAAATATTTTGTGAAATGACAGATGGTATAAAAAAGAAAATGAAGTTGATTGGTATTTTGATATGATTTTAAAATCTACCAATAATAATAATAATTTTGATGTAAAATATGAAATGTATTTCATAAGTAAAATGTAAAAGAGCAAATATTTTTATGTGCTGGCAAAGCTTGGTATTTTTGACATAGCTTCCATTTAGAGACTATTTCTGGTGAAGATATCTTAATATAACGCCTTGCTATATCAATAAGTAACATATCTATATATAATGACTTCATAGCAATTTTTTCAAAATCACACACATTGGACTCTTTCAGTAAATGTAAGAATATTGAAAATATTACTTTTTAAACTTGACCACAGTTTGATACCTTCATAGGATTAAATTAATGGTGGACTTCAGTTAGATATTTAACACTGAGTTATAACGGTTATGTACTGGAGTGTAAATTAAATGAAAATGTATAGTGTCCATCACATCTTGACGGGTGTAGAGAAATGCTGACCTGGTCTGGCCTGTTGTTGGTGTTTTCTTCAGCATGCTCCTTGTGATCAGACGACATAGGTCCCAGGCGTTTGGCAACAGAGGAATCTGGGTCCATCATCTGTAAATCCAGGGGAACAAACTAGTTAGTTTTTTTCTATTAACAAAAGTCAGTTGCTCTCAACTCTTGTTAAAAACTTTGTAAAGAGATACAAACTTGTTTGTGTTTGTCTTCCTACATACAAAAATCAGTCGCAAGCTCTTAAACTCTTTGTTTAAAACTTTGTAAAGAGATAAAAATTAGTCTGTATTGCTATCAAAATCTGAAGGCACGTCAATGTCCCTATCAAGGCAATGAGATAAAACACATTCCTTTATAACAGTTAAGTCCTAACAAAAGGTAAAATATAAAGTTTGTTTCCATACATGGTTCCTCAAGTCTTTAAGATTTAATGCAGGCCTTATCAATTGTCATGACGACAGTTTCAAGGTTGAAATATAGATATAGATTTGAGCTTACCTCAAATTTGTCTGAACCTAAATATCACTTTAAATTGTTGATAGAACCTACAACTTTCATGTAAATCACTGTCTTGTCAAAGAACACATTAAACCTATCTTCCTGAATCATGTGTAGCTAGGAAGTCCTTATGGTCAAATTACGACCCCTTGCAGTGATCTTTAGAGTATGCGGACCTTTGTTTGGTATATGCCAAATTATTGTTAAAATTGTTACAAAAGTTGAAATTTCAATTTAAATTCTTAAAATACTAAGGGCTCCATAAGGTTGTAAGGGTCTGAAATAAGAGTGGATTGTGACCTTGAATATGGACAGACCCACATTAAGCACAATCAATATAGACCTGTTAACTTTACTACATAAAATACATTTATCTCATTGTGGAAAAGAAAAGGAATAATAAGTAAATTCAGATGTAACAATTTAACTGAAAATTTAAGGAAATCCTTCCCAAAGAAGGAAAGGTTGACAGGTAAAGCTGATGAAAAACAAGTGCAGTATCTAGACCAAACTAGAGTATAGAAGTTTAGATTTTGATTTGTAATCCACACCTTGTATCATACACTCTGATCAGTTGATCGGTAACCAGATCAGAACATGATTAACTGTGAGTCAGATTTTATCCAAGTAATATGTCATGTGTTTTATACAACTACCTGCCAAGTCAATAATCATTGTGATTTTGCCAAAACATCCAATACTGCCATCCACATATATATCAGTGCCAACTGTTTGTACTGTCAGTATACATGGTGAGATACGGTGAGATTAATCAGTATAGTAACTGTACTGTCAGTATACATGGTGAGATACGGTGAGATTAATCAGTATAGTAACTGTACTGTCAGTATACATGGTGAGATACGGTGAGATTAATCAGTATAGTAACTGTTTGTACTGTCAGTATACACGGTGAGATACGGTGAGATTAATCAGTATAGTAACTGTACTGTCAGTATACATGGTGAGATACGGTGAGATTAATCAGTATAGTAACTGTTTGTACTGTCAGTATACATGGTGAGGTACGTTGAATTAATCAGTATAGCAACTGTTTGTACTGTCAGTATACACGGTGAGGTACAGTGAATTAATCAGTATAGTAACTGTACTGTCAGTATACATGGTGAGATACGGTGAGATTAATCAGTATAGTAACTGTACTGTCAGTATACATGGTGAGATACAGTGAGATTAATCAGTATAGTAACTGTTTGTACTGTCAGTATACACGGTGAGGTACGGTGAGATTAATCAGTATAGTAACTGTACTGTCAGTATACATGGTGAGGTCAGTATACAGTATAGTAATGTTTGTACTGTCAGTATACATGGTGAGGTACGTTGAATTAATCAGTATAGTAACTGTACTGTCAGTATACACGGTGAGGTACAGTGAGATTAATCAGTATAGTAACTGTACTGTCAGTATACACGTTGAGGTACAGTGAGATTAATCAGTATAGTAACTGTACTGTCAGTATACACGTTGAGATACGGTGCGATTAATCAGTATAGTAACTGTACTGTCAGTATACACGGTGAGGTACAGTGAGATTAATCAGTATAGTAACTGTTTGTACTGTCAGTATACACGTTGAGATACGGTGAGATTAATCAGTATAGCAACTGTTTGTAATGTCAGTATACATAGTGAGATACAGTGAGATTAATCAGTATAGCAACTGTTTGTACTGTCAGTATACATAGTGAGATACAGTGAGATTAATCAGTATAGCAACTGTTTGTACTGTCAGTATACATGGTGAGATACAGTGAGATTAATCAGTATAGCAACTGTTTGTACTGTCAGTATACACGGTGAGGTACGTTGAATTAATCAGTATAGTAACTGTACTGTCAGTATACACGGTGAGGTACAGTGAATTAATCAGTATAGTAACTGTTTGTACTGTCAGTATACACGGTGAGGTACGGTGAATTAATCAGTATAGTAACTGTACTGTCAGTATACACGGTGAGGTACAGTGAATTAATCAGTATAGTAACTGTACTGTCAGTATACACGGTGAGATACGGTGAATTAATCAGTATAGTAACTGTACTGTCAGTATACATGGTGAGATACGGTGAGATTAATCAGTATAGTAACTGTTTGTACTGTCAGTATACATGGTGAGGTACGTTGAATTAATCAGTATAGTAACTGTACTGTCAGTATACACGGTGAGGTACAGTGAATTAATCAGTATAGTAACTGTACTGTCAGTATACACGGTGAGATACGGTGAATTAATCAGTATAGTAACTGTACTGTCAGTATACACGGTGAGATACGGTGAGATTAATCAGTATAGTAACTGTTTGTACTGTCAGTATACATGGTGAGGTACGTTGAATTAATCAGTATAGTAACTGTACTGTCAGTATACACGGTGAGGTACAGTGAGATTAATCAGTATAGTAACTGTACTGTCAGTATACACGGTGAGATACGGTGAGATTAATCAGTTTAGTAACTGTACTGTCAGTATACACGGTGAGATACGGTGAGATTAATCAGTTTAGTAACTGTACTGTCAGTATACACGGTGAGATACGGTGAGATTAATCAGTATAGTAACTGTACTGTCAGTATACACGGTGAGGTACGGTTAATTAATCAGTACAGTAACTGTACTGTCAGTATACACGGTGAGGTACAGTGAGATTAATCAGTATAGTAACTGTACTGTCAGTATACATGGTGAGGTACGGTTAATTAATCAGTACAGTAACTGTACTGTCAGTATACACGTTGAGATACGGTGAGATTAATCAGTACAGTAACTGTACTGTCAGTATACACGGTGAGGTACGGTGAGATTAATCTGTATAGTAACTGTTTGTACTGTCAGTATACATGGTGAGGTACGGTGAATTAATCAGTATAGTAACTGTACTGTCAGTATACACGGTGAAGTACGGTGAGATTAATCAGTATAGTAACTGTACTGTCAGTATACACGGTGAGGTACGGTGAATTAATCAGTATAGTAACTGTACTGTCAGTATACATGGTGAGATACGGTGAGATTAATCAGTATAGCAACTGTTTGTACTGTCAGTATACATGGTGAGATACAGTGAGATTAATCAGTATAGTAACTGTTTGTACTGTCAGTATACATGGTGAGGTACGGTGAATTAATTAGTATAGTAACTGTTTGTACTGTCAGTATACACGGTGAGGTACGGTGAGATTAATTAGTATAGTGAGAAATGCTGCTAAAGTTTAGTATAGTTTAACTAAACAGCTACTGTTATAATAAAACAAATGATTATGTGAACTACGTGGAAACAAGTTTTTATCAGTAAAATAATAAAGCATTTGAAAACAAAACAAGTAACAGTACATGAAAACCAACAGAAGAACTTTATTTAGAAGATGGAACTTCTCACAACCAAAATACTTGTCGATGTAACGGTGGAGATTTTTTTTCTACATTATGCTGTTGTAAAAAAATAAAGACAATAGAGGTCAAGTTCAAAATGAAGGTCAAAAGTTTCTAGTTAATCCTGTTTAATGTCATAATTAAAAAATACTTTATCAAGGTGTAAAGGTAAATATACAGATTGCAGTGACCTACATCTTATACATGATGACCTAGTCATCCTGAGATGTACTCTCACACAAAATGTATTTACACATGGATTGTAACAATCTATAGACAGGAGATTGTTTTCTCCCTAACAGGGTTAACAGTCAAGAGTCAACGCTGAATTATCAAGATTCTAAAATATATTGTATGCAAACAATCACTGACAAAATACTAATTATAACAGACAAATGCTACAGAAACCATACTTTGACCTCTTCAGAAACAGAACTTTTATCTCTCAGAAAACTGTACTATGACTCGCAGAAACAGTACTACACCTGTGCAGACAGAACTTTGACCTCTCTAAATCTATTGCTTTGACCATACTTTGACCTCTCCATAAACCTTACTTTGACCTCTGCAGAAACCTTACTTTGACCTCTCCAGAAACCTTACTTTGACCTCTCCAGAAACCTTATTTTGACCTCTCCAGAAACCATGCCTTGACCTCTGCAGAAACCTTACTTTGACCTCTCCAGAAACTTTACTTTGACCTCTCCAGAAACCATGCCTTGACCTCTCTAGAAAGCATACTTTGACCTCTCCAGAAACTTTACTTTGACCTCTCCAGAAATCTTACTTTGACCTCGACAAAGTATGAAGTTAATGGTTTTAATGGCTCAAAAACTGATTGATCAGTGAAGATGAAGAACAATAAAGTAAAATCTTTTGAACTTTTCCACAAGAAACAAACATATTATCTACCTGGTACCACTTCACAGTAACAACCTACAATAAAACTGTGTTATCCTGTAAAACCCTGTAGGTACAGACTTATCAACAAACAGCACATCCTCATGATTTTATTTGATGAGGGAGATATGGATGTACTGTAGAAGCATCAGTCCAGTATAGATTCTCAGAAGTGATTAAGAGGCCCATGAGCCTGAACTGTCCTCTGAGAAAGATCCATAAATGTTATAATAACAGCAAGGATCATGGGAACAATTGTCAAATTTATAAGATTGAAACAAATTTAGTTTTCATTTCAATTTCTCAATGGGACACAAGGAACTGGAGAAGTTTAAAATGTTATTGTTGACGGACCAAAAAAAAACCAACACTACGGTCAGCACTGCCTCAGGCACGTTTATACTGAATCACACCGGTCACAAACCTCAGAATAATTTGAAAATGTTTTTAAGATGATATTAGATTTTAGACTGACATGAAATATAGCAACACCTGGTCAGCATCATCACAGGATCACAAGGCAATCCTTTAGGTGGAACTTATGACATTTACATGTGAAAAGTTTATGAACAGCTGATGACAAAAGACAAAACATGATAGCTAATATATCCTTTGTGTCAGATCACCTAATAACAAGCTAAATTGTCGTTAAAAAGAAATGATGTGCTTGGTGCATTTTCTAGAAACAATGTCTTTTGTCCACTGATAACCAAGTCAACTTTAGGAGGAATAAATACACAAAATTAACACTTTACAATTCAGAATTAATTCATGAAAAGAAATAAAATATCGACATTGACCACGAATACCAAAGTTTGGGTCTGGGTTAGAATGCAACATACAAGTAAATGGAACAAGAAATGTAGTAACAATATAGAATTATGGACGCAAGAGAAAATACACAACTTATAAAGATAATAATTCAAATTTTGAGCAATGACAAAGTTGGGTCATTTTTAATATTTCATTAAATATGTCTTCGTATTCCTCTAAATTTTGACTTGGTATCAAAAAGTGCAATGCTAACAACCACTTCTATCATGCAGGAATACCTTGTATGTCTGTTCCATTTTCTAAACAAAAAGCAACATCTTAATTTTCTGATCAGAAAAACACTTTCTTTTATATTAATGAAACTAAACTTTCCTTTATATTCACAATGATGATTATTTCTCTTCGATTACAGAGCCATTTTAATGCCATTTCAGTAAAACAGGCATTCTTTTTCCTTCTAACATGGATATACTTTAGAAAGGAACAATCTGGTACTGATAACTGTGTATCTGGAATATGTAATTGAATTATATAAAAAGTTAAATAATCAACAGTAAATGTTCACATTTAAATAACTGATTACATGATACATGACAATAACTTTGAGATTTATAAACGAGACCTCTGAACTTAAGAAAAAATGGCCACATCATACCTGTAAGACTGTTTTAAACAGTTTAGGTGTTTCCGAATCTCTAGTAGGTGTATGTATGATAGGTTCTACTTCAACCTTGGAACTCTCAGTTGAACCAAGACTTTTTGTTGACAACTTTGCATTTTGTCGTAATAATTTTCTGAAAAAAGTAATATAAAGGTTATGTCAATCAGAACCTATCACAATACAAACTGTCTATACGGGAAAAAATATTTCAAAACTAGGTAAAACTAATTTTAACATTGCAATTTTTAGATAATAACATGTTATCAAAATGCTTTTATGAGCCACTAAAAGAGTTTGTAGGTTAGAAATCCAAATCCTAAATACAATATTTCTCCAATATTACATGTATCTTTCCAGAGATTTTGATAGCTGTAATACATGAGGACTCTTACAATTAAAGAAATTTCTTCTTTCAAATTATTTTTTGATATGGTAAAACTCTTTCTAGTGACAAGAATCCCTTGGTGCAGCACATTTTGGTGAAAGTAGTAGGATATCTCAGCTAATGGTTGTCAGAGCATGTGCAGCCCTTCAAATTCTAATAAGACTACTACAAGATTACCACATTGAAAGACTCTGTATTCCTCACATCTCACTGCTGTTGAATTCAAAGTCGTATGTATAGATGCTTTTTGAAAAAATAAACAGCCTGTTCAATGCATACCTGGCCCGTTTTTTCAGAAGCTTATGTGCCTCGGGGTACTCAGCCATGGCATCTTCAAACTCTGTTTGGCTGAGGATAAAGAGGTTTGTAAAACCCTTACATCTGACATCAGCTGTCCGGCGATTTCCATCAGCAGCAATGGCCAGCAGACTGAAAAACAATAGAATGATTTCAATACTCAGCACTCTAATTTACAGTATAATGTAACAGATGGTACACAGCATTGTTGAGCAGGAAATTAGAACCATTCACCTTTAATCAACACACGTTCACATTTTCTTTTATTGATTTCTTTGAAAAATTTTACCAACCTGATTTCACCAAATACACTTCCCTCTTTAAGTGTGGCAAGAACTGTAGTACCATCAGGTCCTCCAACGACTTCCACTTGACCTTGACTAACAATGTACATCTCTTTTCCCACCTCTCCCTAGTGAAAACAAATTATAGTCATATGTCAACTTACACGCCATCCTAGTGAAAACACATTATAGTCATATGTCAACTTACACGCCATCCTAGTGAAAACACATTATAGTCATATGTCAACTTACACGCCATCCTAGTGAAAACAAATTATAGTCATATGTCAACTTACACGCCATCCTAGTGAAAACACATTATAGTCATATGTCAACTTACACGCCATCCTAGTGAAAACACATTCTAGTCATATGTCAACTTACACGCCATCCTAGTGAAAACACATTATAGTCATATGTCAACTTACACGCCATCCTAGTGAAAACACATTATAGTCTTACGTTATTGTTTTGGTTTAAGTGACCAAAATAACAACTACTTTATGTAGAAGAAAATATAGATAGTGACTTAACAATACATTCCAGAAAATCATCCAAGGAATATATTTCTAATGTTTCAACAAAGGAGGTATGAGGATGGTTCTCAAAGCAGTCATCAACTGATGACACAGCCAAGAAAGGTCAAGGAAAAGGATCCAAAGTATTACAACAGAAGCAGCAGATCTATTTATATCTCTTCATTGAAGAGGGTGTAAAAGGAAAATGAAGATTCTTCAGGGGAACCAAACCATGAGATGGCACATCATTTCTCTGATCATTCACACATACTTACAACAAGGATACAGGGGAGAAATTAATATCTTGTTTTGACTTAAACAGCCATACCTTTTTGCAGACATATTCTCCTGGTAGGAAGAGGATTGGTTTAAGTTTGAGGACGAGGTCAAATAGGAGAGTTTTATCACAATCCTGGAACAAGGTCACTTTGGACAGAGTATTGAAGTGAACATGAATGGCCAGGTCTGTACGAAGGTTCTTAGGTAGCCAGTCCATCAACTTCTTCTCATCTACAAGTAACAGCGTAACAGCAACATGTATACAATGTTAAACTACCAGGTAAATAGGTTTTCTTGTGATGACACTAGAGTAGGAATTTCAGGAATACCCCTCCAATACCACTGTCCCAGGATACAATGACAGGAAAAAGAATCTGATGAAACCTTCAGTCTTCCCTATCGTTGGTAGAGGAACAAGGTCAAGGCCTTGTATTGTCTACCTTAGATTTCCTGCTACTATTATTGGTGTTGGAACAAGGTCATGACCTTGTATTGCCTACCTCAGGTTTACTGCTACTATTATTGGTGTTGGAACAAGGTCATGACCTTGTATTGCCTACCTCAGGTTTACTGCTACTATTATTGGTGTTGGAACAAGATCATGACCTTGTATTGCCTACCTCAGGTTTACTGCTACTATTATTGGTGTTGGAACAAGGTCATGACCTTGTATTGCCTACCTCAGGTTTCCTGCTACTATTATTGGTGTGGGAACAAGGTCATGACCATGACCTAGAAAAGCACCTCAGGTATCCTGATACTATTATTGGAGTAGGAACAAAGTCATGACCTTGTATTGCCTACCTAGGTTTTCCTGCTACTATTATTGGTGCAGGAACAAGGTCATGACCTTGTAATGTCTACCTTAGATTTCCTGCTACTATTATTGGTGTGGGAACAAGGTCATGACCTTTTATTGCTTACCTCAGGTTTCCTGCTACTATTATTGGTGTAGTAACAAGGTCATGACCTTGTAAAGCCCCTCAGGTTTCCTGCTACTATTATTGGTGCAGGAACAAAGTTGTGAACTTGTATTTTCTACCTCAGATTTCCTGCTACTTTTATTTGCGTAGGAACAAGATCAAGACCTTTTATTGCCTACCTCAGGTATCCTGCTACTATTATTGGAGTAGGAACAAGGTCATGACCTTTTATTGCCTACCTCAGGTATCCTGCTACTATTATTGGTGTAGGAACAAGGTCGTGAACTTGTATTTTCTACCTCAGGTTTCCTGCTACTATTATTGGTGTTGGAACAAGGTCATGGCCTTGTATTGCCTACCTCAGGTTTCCTGCTACTATTATTGGTGCAGGAACAAGGTCATGACCTCGTATTGTCTACCTTAGATTTCCTGCTACTATTATTGGTGTAGAAACACGGTCATGACCTTGTATTGCCTACCTCAGGTTTCCTTCTATCTAATTTTTATGTAAACTTGTGTTGCTTACCTGAGATTTTTTGTTGCTCCCATTGGTAGAGGAACCAGGTCCTCACCTTATGTTGTGTATCGTTAGGGCAGTTAAGGTTCTTGACATATCTAAGAGCGTCATCCATCATCTTGTCATACTGGGATTTTGCACGGCCTGCTGCATCCACAATATCGCGTATCTGTAGGTAACACAAGCAAAACATACCATCAATTAAAACTAAGAGTGTTTCAGCTGAGAGAACCACATGATGAAAATCTTGACCACAAAGAAGAAATAAATCACATGACCGAAAGATGAAATAAATCACATGACCGAAAGATGAAATAAATCACATGACCGAAAGATGAAATGAATCAAACAATTCTGTAACAAAGTTCATTAGATACTTAAATGCCTTTTTTAGGATTTGAACCCAGGACCTCCAGCTTACTAGCCTTAACAGACAAATTTACCCAACATCAAGTATTCTTCTGATATCATTATATCTGACTGATGAAAAGTAGGAATGATCCTGCCAAACTGAAAAGTACCAAAGGAAATTCACAATATTCTCTAAATGATCATGTGACTTACCTGACCAATGAGAAGAGCGAAGACAAACACTCCAGAGACCCAGTATATTGTCATGAAGATGTACTCCAGTTTATTGGTGGGGATTGGGTTGTTGCCGATGGAGGTAGCAGTCTTTGTTGCCAGGTAAAAACACCTTATATACCTACCACATGTCGTTAAATCATTACATGATGATCAACATTTATATTTCCATGAATTTTCTAAGACACAAGAACTACAACACTGATGATAGAAAATATATATTTTTACGGTACAAGAGTATAATGTTTTGATACTTGCGAAGTTATGTAATGAGATTATTTAACAGTCAATAATTTTTAATCTCCATCCAGGTTTTGTTTGCAAAGGAGAAATTTACAGACAGTATATCAAAGTTGATCATTGAAAATAATTCAGATTTACCAATCATAACTAAGGTTACAGATCATATAAATTAGAGACATCATTAAACCTCAAGTTTTATAAATTCAAATCTCTCAAATATAGCAACAAATTTGTCTATGTCTTGCACTTCTGAAACAAAATTGATTGAATGCCAAGCTGTGTGTATACTTACGCAATGCCTTCACCATTATAGACCCAGCGATTAGAACCGATTCCCTCGTACACCGACACTGCATAGTAACCACAGGTCTCAAGGTGGATCAGGAACAACATGTATGTCATCGTCTTTATGATTCTGTTAAAATTAATATTGGCTATATACCATGGTCATTTTCTAATTCTCTACTGAAAGCAAGTAACACATTCATTACCATAATTATATAAGAGAAATTTACACTTGATTTACATGGTTATTGTAGTTGACAAAGCAGAAGATGCTTACTCTTCTGGAACACCTGGTCTAATTCTTGTACTTGGGCATATTTTGCCTTTGTTTTTTAAGTTTGGATTATGAGTATGACTATCATCATCATGTTGGTATTTTCTTGTTGTTTTATTTGCCTCATAAGTTTCAATGCATTTAGTTACAAGAGACCCATGGGCCAGTATGGTCATCTGACTATGAAGACTTATGAAGTACTGTACTAGTAGTAGTGTGTTCAGTTAGAACATTTCTAAATTTCAGCAGTTAAGGTGACAGGCAAAAACAACCCTTTTTATTTTGGTTTATCAACATACTGATACTGTAATCAATTCAAAAAGTGAAACTGGATAAGAGAACAAATTGCGTTTTTTTGCGAGATGGCACCCACAACAGCCATATTAGATTTGATTGTCCCTGAAAACAACCATGCTTGGTCTAGACCACCTCAAGTTTCAGCATAATCTGATTGTGGAAATGGAGAAGTTTAAAATATTTGTTGTTGAGCAAAACAATGATTGTGCAATCATGTTAAAATAAGCCGTAATAACAGCCATGGTCAAAGTTTGTCAACGCTGGTTATAGACCATTTGTTGGCATCATTTCCCTAACACTGTCACTAGTTTTCATTCAGCTCAATGACATCATTTCCCTAACACTGTCGCTAGTTTTCATTCAGCTCAATGACATCATTTCCCTAACACTGTCGCTAGTTTTCATTCAGCTCAATGACATCATTTCCCTAACACTGTCGCTAGTTTTCATTCAGCTCAATGACATCATTTCCCTAACACTGTCGCTAGTTTTCATTCAGCTCAATGACATCATTTCCCTAACACTGTCGCTAGTTTTCATTCAGCTCAATGACATCATTTCCCTAACACTGTCGCTAGTCTTCATTCAGCTCAATGACATCATTTCCCTAACACTGTCGCTAGTCTTCATTCAGCTCAATGACATCATTTCCCTAACACTGTCGCTAGTTTTCATTCAGCTCAATGACATCATTTCCCTAACACTGTCGCTAGTTTTCATTCAGTTCAATGACATCATTTCCCTAACACTGTCGCTAGTTTTCATTCAGCTCAATGACATCATTTCCCTAACACTGTCACTAGTTTTCATTCAGCTCAATGGCACCAGACAAACTGGAGAAGTTTAAAATGTAATGATCTAGGGTGCAGCTATAATGGATTTCAGACAAACCAGAAAAATAACAGCACTAAGATCTCCGGATCAATTCAGGCAAGTTTGCGCCAGTGGAACTAGAACAAAAGTTTAAAATGGGAAAATTTTTATGTAGGCAGACAAGAGCTTGCACACAGACAATGTAACCAGAGAATCAGAGAAACTATGTAAACTTTTGGCCTGAATTCAATTTAGGATCTCAGTATTAACTGATAGTCTTTCCAAGTGAGTGATAACTCGTGTGTATAATAGCTGTGGTGTGAACAGTTCCTCACAAAGTTTTAAAGATAATTACCTCAGTACATGAGCAGATTTGACGGCCTGGTCACATCTCTGATAGAACTCCCAAAATGTCTGTATCTGGAAACAGCATTTAGTTCATCTTCTGAGGTATTCATCATCACTCTGAACTACAATTTTCTTCGTGGGTTTCAGTAAGATATTGCTTTTCAAAATTATTCCGCTAAAACAGCTTATAATTTCTTGTTATTGATGATTTTTGTTAAAAAAGTCAGAGAATGAAGATTTCCATGTGAACATTGTTCCTAACACTTTGGGCAATGTAAATAATGATATTTTATATTTTTCAAAAAAGATTTTTAGCTATATGCAAGATGTTTAATGATTTTTGTGAGTTTAAAAGTAAATGATAAAACAAGAAACCCATGAGGATTAACTACTTTCCTTTTTATAAGTATGATCTTTGCTTTCCAAATTCATGATCTTTCATTTTTTTCTTTTGCAGTTTTTGCTCATGGTCATACACTGGTAATAAGTCTATTGATAAACTGAATTTTACACAATTATCACTACCAAGGAGAACCTACAGTTGAAAATGATTTATCCAGTATGCCTTAAGTAACATCAGTAACAAGCTACAATTCTTCCGTTTTCCATTTTCTGATCTGTCTCAAAATGAAGATGGCACCAAAGAGGAGCTAGAGGGATCCGGATCAACATAAGAAATTTGAGAATTTCTTCTCCCAAAAATTGACCACAAATGACTTGATCTCATGGTAAATATCATATTCTTTATAAAAATACTGACAGACCTTGAGAAGACGTGGTAGTCTAAACCAAGGTACGACACCCAGCAGCAGGTAGAATAGGTCCAGTGGTAACAAGGACAACACATCAAACTGAAACACGAACACATGTTCTGATCAATTTATGTATCTAGTGAGCTTACTATAGTTGATTCTCTAAACTGTACTTTTACTGACATCAAGATTTGTTTTATATTTTGTGTATACAGAGTATACATACCTTAAACACACAGTATATATACCTTAAACACACAGTATACATACCTTAAACACACAGTATACAAACCTTAAACACACAGTATACATACCTTAAACACAAACAGTATACATACCTTAAACACACAGTATACATACCTTAAACACACACAGTATACATACCTTAAACACACAGTATACATACCTTAAACACACAGTATACATACCTTAAACACACAGTATACATACCTTAAACACACAGTATACATACCTTAAACACACACAGTATACATACCTTAAACACACACACAGTGTACATACCTTAAACATACACAGTATACATACCTTAAACACACACAGTATACATACCTTAAACATACAGTATACATACCTTAAACACACAGTATACATACCTTAAACATACAGTATACATACCTTAAACACACAGTATACATACCTTAAACACACAGTATACATACCTTAACACACAGTATACATAACACACACACAGTATACATACCTTAAACACACACAGTATACATACCTTAAACACACACAGTATACATACCTTAAACACACAGTATACATACCTTAAACACACAGTATACATACCTTAAACACACACAGTATACATACCTTAAACACACAGTATACATACCTTAAACACACACAGTATACATACCTTAAACACACACAGTATACATACCTTAAACATACCTTAAACATACAGTATACATACCTTAAACACACAGTATACATACCTTAAACACACACAGTATACATATCTTAAACACACACAGTATACATACCTTAAACACACACAGTGTACATACCTTAAACACACAGTATACATACCTTAAACACACAGTATACATACCTTAAACAAACACACAGTATACATACCTTTAACACACACAGTATTCATACCTTAAACACACACAGTATACAAACCTTAAACACACAGTATACATACCTTAAACACACAGTATACATACCTTAAACACACAGTATACATACCTTAAACACACACAGTATACATACCTTAAACACACACAGTATACATACCTTAAACATACAGTATACATACTTTAAACACACACAGTGTACATACCTTAAACATACAGTATACTTACCTTAAACACACATTATACATACCTTAAACACACACAGTATACATACCTTAAACATACAGTATACATACCTTAAACACACACAGTATACATACCTTAAACACACACAGTATACATACCTTAAACACACACAGTATACATACCTACAGTATACATACCTTAAACATACAGTATACATACCTTAAACATACAGTATACATACCTTAAACATACAGTATACATACTTTAAACACACACAGTATACATACCTTAAACACACACAGTATACATACCTTAAACACACACAGTATACATACCTTAAACATACAGTATACATACTTTAAACACACACAGTATACATACCTTAAACATACAGTATACATACCTTAAACATACAGTATACATACCTTAAACATACAGTATACATACTTTAAACATACAGTATACATACTTTAAACACACACAGTATACATACCTTAAACACACACACCTACCTTAAACACACACAGTATACATACCTTAACACACACAGTATACATACCTTAACACACACAGTATACATACCTTAACACACACAGTATACCTACCTTAAACACACACAGTATACATACCTTAAACACACACAGTATACATACCTTAAACACACAGTATACATACCTTAAACACACACAGTATACATACCTTAAACACACAGTATACATACCTTAAACACACACAGTATACATACCTTAAACACACACAGTATACATACCTTAAACACACACAGTATACATACCTTAAACACACACAGTATACATACCTTAACACACACAGTATACATACCTTACAACACACACAGTATACATACCTTAACACACACAGTATACATACCTTAACACACACAGTATACATACCTTAAACACACACAGTATACATACCTTAAACACACACATTATACATACCTTAAACACACACAGTATACATACCTTAAACATACAGTATACATACACAGTATACCTACCTTAAACACACCCAGTATACGTACCTTAAACATACAGTGTACATACCTTAATTATACACAGTATACCTACCTTAAACACACACAGTATACATACCTTAAACATACAGTATACATACCTTTAACACACACAGTATTTATACCTTAAACCCACAGTATACATATCTTAAACATACAGTATACATACCTTAAACACACACAGTATACATACCTTAAACACACAGTATACATACCTTAAACAAACACAGTATACATACCTTAAACACACACAGTATACATACCTTAAACACACAGTATACATACCTTAAACACACACAGTATACATACCTTAAACACACACAGTATACATACCTTAAACACACACAGTATACATACCTTAAACACACAGTATACATACCTTAAACACACAGTATACATACCTTAAACACACACAGTATACATACCTTAAACACACACAGTATACATACCTTAAACACACAGTGTACATACCTTAAACACACAGTATACATACCTTAAACACACACAGTATACATACCTTAAACACACACAGTGTACATACCTTAAACACACAGTATACATACCTTAAACACACACAGTATACATACCTTAAATACACACAGTATACATACGTTAAACACACACAGTATACATACCTTAAACACACAGTATACATACCTTAAAAACACACAGCACACACAGTATACATACCTTAACACACACAGTATACATACCTTAAACACACACAGTATACATACCTTAAACACACACACAGTGGACAGCACTAAAACAGACACAGTATACATACCTTAAACACACACAGTATACATACCTTAAACATACAGTATACATACTTTAAACACACACAGTATACATACCTTAAACACACAGTATAAATACTTTAAACACACAGTATACATACCTTAAACACACACAGTATACATACCTTTAACACACACAGTATACATATAAACACACACTTAAACACACACAGTATACATACCTTAAACACACAGTATACATACCTTAAACACACAGTATACATACCTTAAACACACACAGTATACATACCATAAACACACACAGTATACATACCTTAACACACACAGTATACATACCTTAACACACACAGTATACATACCTTAAACACACACACACAGTACCTTAAACACACAGTATACATACCTTAAACACACACAGTATACATACCTTACACACACACACAGCACTAAAACAGACACAGTAACAGACCTTAAACACACACAGTATACATACCTTAAACACACAGAAAACATACCTTAAACACACACAGTATAATACAACACACAGTATACATACCTTAAACACACACAGTATACATACCTTAAACATACAGTATACATACCTTAAACACACACAGTATACATACCTTAAACACACAGTATACATACCTTAAACACACAGTATACATACCTTAAACACACACAGTATACATACCTTAAACACACAGTATACATACCTTAAACACACAGTATACATACCTTAAACACACACAGTATACAAAAAAAAAACACACAGTATACATACCTTAAACACACACAGTATACATACCTTAAACACACACAGTATACATACCTTAAACACACACACAGTATAAACACACCTACCTTAAACACACACAGTATACATACCTTAAACATACAGTATACATACCTTAAACACACAGTATACATACCTTAAACACACACAGTATACATACCTTAAATACACACAGTATACATACGTTAAACACACAGTATACATACCTTAAACATACAGTATACATACCTTAAACACACAGTATACATACCTTAAACACACACAGTATACATACCTTAAACACACAGTATACATACCTTAAACACACAGTATACATACCTTAAACACACAGAATACCTACCTTAAAAACACACAGTATACATACCTTAAATACACACAGTATACATACGTTAAACACACACAGTATACATACCTTAAACACACAGTATACATACCTTAAACACACACAGTATACATACCTTAAACATACAGTATACATACCTTAAACACAAACAGTGTACATACCTTAAACATACACAGTATACCTACCTTAAACACACCCAGTATACGTACCTTAAACATACAGTATACATACCTTAAACACACAGTATACATACCTTAAACACACACAGTATACATACCTTAAACACACAGTATACATACCTTAAACACACAGTATACATACCTTACAGTATACATACCTTAAACACACACAGTATACATACCTTAAACACACAGTATACATACCTTAAACACACAGTATACCTACCTTAAACACACACAGTATACATACCTTAAACACACAGTATACATACCTTAAACACACAGTATACATACCTTAAACACACAGTATACATACCTTAAACACACAGTATACATACCTTAAACACACACAGTATACATACCTTAAACACACAGTATACATACCTTAAACACACAGTATACATACCTTAAACACACAGTATACATACCTTAAACACACACAGTATACATACCTTAAACACACACACATACCTTAAACACACAGTATACATACCTTAAACAAACACAGTATACATACCTTAAACACACAGTATACATACCTTAAACACACAGTATACATACCTTAAACACACAGTATACATACCTTAAACATACAGTATACATACCTTAAACACACAGTATACATACCTTAAACACACACAGTATACATACCTTAAACACACAGTATACATACCTTAAACACACAGTATACATACCTTAAACACACACAGTATACATACCTTAAACACACACAGTATACATACCTTAAACACACACAGTATACATACCTTAAACACACAGTATACATACCTTAAACACACAGTATACATACCTTAAACACACAGTATACATACCTTAAACACACAGTATACATACCTTAAACACACAGTATACATACCTTAAACACACAGTATACATACCTTAAACACACAGTATACATACCTTAAACACACACAGTATACATACCTTAAACACACAGTATACATACCTTAAACACACAGTATACATACCTTAAACACACAGTATACATACCTTAAACATACAGTATACATACCTTAAACATACACAGTATACATACCTTAAACACACAGTATACATACCTTAAACACACACAGTATACATACCTTAAACACACACAGTATACATACCTTAAACATACAGTATACATACCTTAAACATACAGTATACATACCTTAAACACACACAGTATACATACCTTAAACATACACAGTATACATACCTTAAACATTCTCTTTTGCATGTAATTCTTTCTCATTAACGTGGGATCAGTCTGAAAAACCCAAACAAAGTTTCATTATTCACTTTGATAGAATGCATTGAATTCAAGAACAGATACCTGCAGCTGATCTTTTTGACTTGTCATATCTAAATCCAATTAAACTTCAAACTACAATAACATTCAAAATATAAATCCTTTAATGATATAAACATGTGTCCCATCAATTTACCGCCATTAAACTACAGTTCAGACAGGTGTGACAATTTACCTCCAAGAAAATACAGTTCAGACAGATGTGACAATTTACCGCCATTAATCTACAGTTCAGACAGGTGTGACAATTTACCTCCAATAAAATACAGTTCAGACAGGTGTGACGATTTATCTCCAGTAAACTACATTTCACACAGGTGTGACGATTTACCTCCATTAAACTACAGTTCAGACAGGTGTGACAATTTATCTCCATTAAACTACAGTTCAGACAGGTGTGACAATTTATCTCCATTAAACTACAGTTCAGACAGGTGTGACAAATTACCTCTATCAAACCACATTTTACACAGGTATGATAACTTACCTCTATTAAACCACTGTTCAGATAGGTGAGGTGAGGTTTAACCAACAGGATATCTAGAATGTAGATAGCGTCACAAGTATAGTCACAGATGAGCCAGTAAATAAGGTTGGAGGAGTTCTGATATGGAAAGATACCACGCAATGGGATGACCCAGGCATTGTACATGAAGCACAGTGTTACCAGGAACAGCCAGGTCATGTACAGCTTACCTGTGGGGAAAATAATATTTACATAAAACATAGTCCTGTCATATACAGCTTACCTTGTGAAAATAACCTTCATTTTAAAACATAGTCCTCTCGTGTACAGCTTACCTGAGTGAAAATAATTTTTGTACATGGGAAGCACTGACAAATACAGCCATTCAGGTCCCTTTTTATCATATTATCTAATAAACAAAGTGCATTGTCTACAGGACTCATTCTTACTCTGCGGCTCCAGCCTCCGTGGGATACTACAAGGGTTTTTCAGCCAGGACGGCAGACGCATTCTACAACATCCACATTCAAGGAAATATTCATCCAGTTTTCCATCGTCAGACTGACCCAACGGTCCACGTTCACGCAGATGTACAGGAATGAAAGAGTCCAAACGATGTTGTCTCTGTTCTGGTTCATCTGTAGCTGAGATTGCTGTAATGAAGAGGTTATAAATCCTGTAAATTGAAATATCTGCGGCTTGACAGGTAAAATTACATACCTGTCTCATATAGGTACACATACCTGTCTCATATAGGTACACATACCTGTCTCATATAGGCACAGATAGATTAAAAAAAAGCAAGCATTTCGTTATTTTTTTATTTATTAATTTTTTTCACTATTTTCCCCCTTAGATTACATTTACTGATCCCTTTAAGCAAATAAACTACAAAAAATACATCTTGGATTAAAAAAATTAGGAAGGTGTAGAGGGCATCACTTAGCCATTATGATGAAATCCATTGTGGTTTACTTCACCATTAGAGTTATGTTTATTGGGATTCATTTCACAACCTTCAAAATACCAGGCCACACTGATATAATTCCACTTCATCGAGAATTTCAGTCGTTCCTCTAGATCATTTTAACATGGAGTCAGTAACAGAATTTATTCACAAAGATGTATTTAAGATAGAAACATCCATTATCTGCTTTTGTATTTGTGAAAACTTTGCGTTATTGATATTGAGCAGATGGATCAGCATCACATCAGTTCTATCATGTAAGTGGTGATGGCCTTCAGTCATGCCATTCAGAGGAAATATCGAGAATAATGTCAACGGGGATATACTTCTCTGTATAAGAGATTAAATAGTGTACCAAAAGATTTAAGGTCATAAAAATCATTTTTTATCAACTTTTCTTCAGCAAAATATCATTGAATTTATGCTTCCATTGGATATTATCAACAATTATCAAAAAAGGAAAGGAAAATGAACAAGATGCTTGGCTTTGTGTTGTATTTGGGAGTCTGTACAAGTCATTGGCACCTGTTCTATTTGTCATCCATCTAGATCAAAAGGCTCAGCCTGACAGTTATATCCCGTCTTAAAAAAACTATTAATCTGTTGAAGGAACATGTTCTTGTGTCAAATTGTTTAGAGCTATCAGGTATCATAAGAGACCCCCAGGTAGTTATTCTCAGTGTCACTATCAGGTATCATAAGAGACCCCCAGGTAGTTATTCTTAGTGTCACTGTCAGGTATCATAAGAGACCCCCAGGTAGTTATTCTCAGTGTCACTATCAGGTATCATAAGAGACCCCCAGGTAGTTATTCTCAGTGGAGCTATCAGGTATCATAAGAGACCCCAGACAGTTATTCTCAGTGTCACTGTCAGGTATCATAAGAGACCCCCAGGTAGTTATTCTCAGTGTCACTGTCAGGTATCATAATAGACCCCCAGGTAGTTATTCTCAGTGTCACTATCAGGTATCATAAAAGACCCCCAGGTAGATATTCTCAGTGTCACTGTCAGGTATCATAAGAGACCCCCAGGTAGTTATTCTCAGTGGAGCTATCAGGTATCATAAGAGACCCCCAGGTAGTTATTCTCAGTGTCACTGTCAGGTATCATAAGAGACCCCCAGGTAGTTATTCTCAGTGTCACTATCAGGTATCATAAGAGACCCCCAGGTAGTTATTCTCAGTGTCACTGTCAGGTATCATAAGAGACTCCCAGATAGCTATTCTCAGTGTCACTGTCAGGTATCATAAGAGACCCCCAGGTAGTTATTCTCAGTGTCACTGTCAGGTATCATAAGAGACCCCCAGACAGTTATTCTCAGTGTCACTATCAGGTATCATAAGAGACCCCCAGGTAGTTATTCTCAGTGGAGCTATCAGGTATCATAAGAGACCCCCAGGTAGTTATTCTCAGTGTCACTATCAGGTATCATAAGAGACCCCCAGGCAGTTATTCTCAGTGTCACTGTCAGGTATCATAAGAGACCCCCAGGTAGTTATTCTCAGTGTCACTATCAGGTATCATAAGAGACCCCCAGGTAGTTATTCTCAGTGTCACTATCAGGTATCATAAGAGACCCCCAGGTAGTTATTCTCAGTGTCACTGTCAGGTATCATAAGAGACCCCCAGGCAGTTATTCTCAGTGTCACTGTCAGGTATCATAAGAGACCCCCAGGTAGTTATTCTCAGTGTCACTATCAGTTATCATAAGAGACCCCCAGACAGTTATTCTCAGTGTCACTATCAGGTATCATAAGAGACCCCCAGGTAGTTATTCTCAGTGGAGCTATCAGGTATCATAAGAGACCCCCAGGTAGTTATTCTCAGTGGAGCTATCAGGTATCATAAGAGACCCCCAGGCAGTTATTCTCAGTGTCACTGTCAGGTATCATAAGAGACCCCCAGGTAGTTATTCTCAGTGGAGCTATCAGGTATCATAAGAGACCCCCAGGTAGTTATTCTCAGTGTCACTGTCAGGTATCATAAGAGACCCCCAAGTAGTTATTCTCAGTGGAGCTATCAGGTATCATAAGAGACCCCCAGGTAGTTATTCTCAGTGTCACTGTCAGGTATCATAAGAGACCCCCAGGTAGTTATTCTCAGTGTCACTATCAGGTATCATAAGAGACCCCCAGGTAGTTATTCTCAGTGGAGCTATCAGGTATCATAAGAGACCCCCAGGTAGTTATTTTCAGTGTCACTGTCAGGTATCATAAGAGACCCCCAGGTAGTTATTCTCAGTGTCACTGTCAGGTATCATAAGAGACCCCCAGGTAGTTATTCTCAGTGGAGCTATCAGGTATCATAAGAGACCCCCAGGTAGTTATTCTCAGTGTCACTATCAGGTATCATAAGAGACCCCCAGACAGTTATTCTCAGTGTCACTGTCAGGTATCATAAGAGACCCCCAGGTAGTTATTCTCAGTGGAGCTATCAGGTATCATAAGAGACCCCCAGGTAGTTATTCTCAGCGTCACTGTCAGGTATCATAAGAGACCCCCAGGTAGTTATTCTCAGTGTCACTGTCAGGTATCATAAGAGACCCCCAGGTAGTTATTCTCAGTGTCACTATCAGGTATCATAAGAGACTCCCAGGTAGTTATTCTCAGTGGAGCTATCAGGTATCATAAGAGACCCCCAGGTAGTTATTCTCAGTGTCACTGTCAGGTATCATAAGAGACCCCCAGGTAGGATTTGTGATGGGGCACCAGGCAGTTATTCTCAGTGTCACTGTCAGGTATCATAAGAGACCCCCAGACAGTTATTCTCAGTGTCACTATCAGGTATCATAAGAGACCCCCAGGTAGTTATTCTAAGTGGAGCTATCAGGTATCATAAAAAAAACCCAGGTAGTTATTCTCAGTGGAGCTATCAGGTATCATAAGAGACCCCCAGGTAGTTATTCTCAGTGTCGCAAGGGTACAAAGAGTGAAAGTGATCGAAACCCGTGGAGTATAGAGGATGGTGACAGAGGTGCAGAGAGTGAAAGTGATTATAACCCCTGGAGTAAAAAGGATGGTGAAAGGGGTACAGAGAGTGAAAGTGATCGAAACCCGTGGAGTATCAAGGATGTTGACAGGGGTGCAGTGAGTGAAATTGATTATAACCCCTGGAGTAAAACGGATGGTGAAAGGGGTACAGAGAGTGAAAGTGATTATAACCCGTGGAGTATCAAGGATGGTGACAGGGGTACAGAGAGTGAAAGTGATTATAACCCCTGGAGTAAAAAGGCTGGTGAAAGGGGTACAGAGAGTGAAAGTGATTGTGAACCCTGGAGTATCGAGGATGGTGACAGGGGTGCAGAGAGTGAAAGTGATCGAAACCTGTGGAGTATAGAGGATGGTGACAGGGGTGCAGAGAGTGAAAGTAATCGTAAACTCTGAAGTATCGATGATTGGGCCATAGCATCATTTACTGGCATATAAATTACTCTATAAAATCAGTGTTTAACACACAGTATGAGGAATCACTTTTTATATTGATCAGTTGGAGTAACCAGAAACTGCTGGGCCTAGCAGGATCACCACTTTTACTTAACAAACCTGACACTGGTATAATGTAGGTCTTCTAGAATAGGGTCAGGACACAACAGCTGCTACTGGAGTATAAACAAACCTGAGTTAGCATCAGAGTAGGCGTCGTATTCGTCCTGAGAAGAAGGTGTGGGGGGTTGGATGGTCGTCTCTTTGACTCGTTCTGTTCGGCTGGAGAATGCGCGCACCAACTGGTGGAGATGTTCACTAAGGCTACTGCTGACAACAGACACACTGTTACTGTTGGTTCTGTGGTATAAAAAAGTGAAAAAGGACTCATTTGGAATGATAATGTGATCATACTGTTGACTCTGTGGAGTAAATATTAACTCAACAGAGCTAAGTGAACATTTGCTCCGTAGTGTTTTGTCACTTCTATTTTGGTACGAGATGCATTTTTGCTTCCTTTATGTAGTGTCATTATCATTAAGCTATAAAAAAGTCATATACTTGGTATTTTGGTAATTCACTGAAATTGGAAAATGAGTAGAGGTAGGACAGGGAAATACTGTTGACGGAGATAAATAAAATCTCTCATCCCCTTTGTGGTGAGACGGGGGGATCTCAGGCGAAAGATGATTACGATAGCAAATAATAGGCTTACTCAGTGTTTGCAACTTAATAATCTTTTCCCGAGGGTTGAGATTTCCTTATCTCACCAACTCACCAACAAGATGTGAATGATTGTTTTTCTCTTACCTCTCCCGTCGCAACCCTAGGGTGAGACCAGGAAATCTCACACCAGTAAAAAGCGTGGATTTACCCATCCAGCGTAAGAGATCAACAATAAAATGCTAATCTGGAGGCAATTACAAACATGTACTTTACTGAGGAAAAAACTTTCTTTATATATCTGCAATGAAATAACCTTTGACATCCGAGCCTGGAAAGCAATACCATGCATTGACAAAGCACAAAGGAATAATCCCAACATGATTTGAGATGTTGTACAGGAGATAGAAATGGTGACAGGCAGATAGACGAGGGGGATTTTAATACACCTGCCTGATCATCAATCAGGGTGGTGATTAAAAAGAACACTGCTGTTATAAATTGGAGTTTGCACATTGAAAATTGATAAATGTACTTTAGGTTTGCAATTAGAAATCATTTCAATTCTCTCATGAAAATTGAGAATTTTTAATGTACACGTGAAAAGATAATGTCTCACTGTCTGAGCTAGTACTGCCATTAGACAGACTGTTAGAGTTTGCTCTGTGAATTTAAACAATAAACACATGTTGTACAAACTCATTCATTGAACAATGACTCAATAAGGCTAACATTAGGTATGTTGTTGCTCTGTAAAGTAAAACAGTAAACATTGACTCATTATGGCTGACATGAGGTAGATTGTTGCTGTGTGAAGTAACACAGTAAACATTGGCTCATTATGGCTGACATGAGATAGATTGTTGCTGTGTAAAGTAACACAGTAAATATTGACTCATTATGGCTGACATGAGGTAGATTGTTGCTGTGTAAAGTAACACAGTAAACATTGACTCATTATGGCTGACATGAGGTAGATTGTTGCTGTGTAAAGTAACACAGTAAACATTGACTCATTATGGCTGACATGAGATAGATTGTTGCTGTGTAAAGTAACACAGTAAATATTGACTCATTATGGCTGACATGAGATAGATTGTTGCTGTGTAAAGTAACACAGTAAACATTGACTCATTATGGCTGACATGAGGAAAATTTCGATACTGCACTTAGGAAAAAAAAATCCTAATGAGCATTGCTGAAGCAATACCTTTCATTTACCACCTCCTACAAGCTATTTTGATGTAATTATTTATACTTTTTCTGTAAAAAGTAAAAGTGATCTTGACCCAGCAACCCTTAAACTCACCCTCTAACATCATGTCACAACTCCTGAAACATACAAGATGTCATCACAATGTATATGACACCATGTTTCTAAGATGTCATCACAATGTATATGACACCATGTTTCTAGAATGTCATCACAATGTATATGATATCATGTTTCTAGGATGTCATCACAATGTATATGACACCATGTTTCTAGGATGTCATCACAATGTATATGACACCATGTTTCTAGGATGTCATCACAATGTATATGACACCATGTTTCTAGGATGTCATCACAATGTATATGACATCATGTTTCTAGAATGTCATCACAATGTATATGACACCATGTTTCTAGAATGTCATCACAATGTACATGACACCATGTTTCTAGGATGTCATCACAATGTATATGACACCATGTTTCTAGGATGTCATCACAATGTATATGACACCATGTTTCTAGGATGTCATCACAATGTATATGACACCATGTTTCTAGGATGTCACAGAGAAAACTTTCAGCAGCTCTGCAAGGTCATATCATGTGTGTAATAATAAGGCTTGGTGTGATAGTGTTACTAAACAGATAACAGGGTAGTTGTGTGATAACAGGGTAGTTGTGTGATAACAGATAGTTGTGTGATAACAGGGTAGTTGTGTTACTAAACAGATAACTGGGTAGTTATGTGATATTTGTGTGATAACAGGGTAGTTGTGTGATAACAGGGTAGTTGTGTCACTAAACAGATAACTGGGTAGTTATGTGATATTTGAGTGATAACAGGGTAGTTGTGTGATAACAGATAGTTGTGTGATAACAGGGTAGTTGTGTTACTAAACAGATAACTGGGTAGTTATGTGATATTTGTGTGATAACAGGGTAGTTGTGTGATAACAGGGTAGTTGTGTTACTAAACAGATAACTGGGTAGTTATGTGATATTTGTGTGATAACAGGGTAGTTGTGTGATAACAGTAACAGGGTAGTTGTGTTACTAAACAGTTGTGTTATAAACAGAGTTGTGTATAAAAGGTAGTTGTGTGATAACAGGGTAGTTGTATGATAACAGATAGTTTTGTGATAACAGGGTAGTTGTGTTACTAAACAGATAACTGGGTAGTTGTGTGATATTTGTGTGATAACAGGGTAGTTGTGTGATAACAGATAGTAGTGTGATGACAGGGTAGTTGTGTGATAAAAGATAGTTGTGTGATAACAGGGTAGTTGTGTTACTAAACAGATAACTGGGTAGTTATGTGATATTTGTGTGATAACAGGGTAGTTGTGTTACTAAACAGATAACTGGGTAGTTATGTGATATTTGTGTGATAACAGGGTAGTTGTGTTACTAAACAGATAACTGGGTAGTTATGTGATATTTGTGTGATAACAGGGTAGTTGTGTTACTAAACAGATAACTGGGTAGTTATGTGATATTTGTGTGATAACAGGGTAGTTGTGTGATAACAGATAGTTGTGTGATAACAGATAGTTTTGTGATAACAGGGTAGTTGTGTTACTAAACAGATAACTGGGTAGTTATGTGATATTTGTGTGATAACAGGGTAGTTGTGTTACTAAACAGATAACTGGGTAGTTATGTGATATTTGTGTGATAACAGGGTAGTTGTGTTACTAAACAGATAACTGGGTAGTTATGTGATATTTGTGTGATAACAGGGTAGTTGTGTGATAACAGATAGTTGTGTGATAACAGATAGTTTTGTGATAACGGTAGTTGTGTTACTAAACAGATAACTGGGTAGTTATGTGATATTTGTGTGATAACAGGGTAGTTGTGTGATAACAGATAGTTGTGTGATAACAGGGTAGTTGTGTTACTAAACAGATAACTGGGTAGTTGTGTGATATTTGTGTGATAACAGGGTAGTTGTGTGATAACAGGGTAGTTGTGTTACTAAACAGATAACTGGGTAGTTATGTGATATTTGTGTGATAACAGGGTAGTTGTGTGATAACAGTGCAGTTGTGTTACTAAACAGATAACTGGGTAGTTATGTGATATTTGTGTGATAACAGGGTAGTTGTGTTACTAAACAGATAACTGGGTAGTTATGTGATATTTGTGTGATAACAGGGTAGTTGTGTGATAAAAGATAGTTTTGTGATAACAGGGTAGTTGTGTTACTAAACAGATAACTGGGTAGTTATGTGATATTTGTGTGATAACAGATAGTTGTGAGATAACAGATAGTTTTGTGATAACAGGGTAGTTGTGTTACTAAACAGATAACTGGGTAGTTATGTGATATTTGTGTGATAACAGATAGTTGTGTGATAACAGGGTAGTTGTGTGATGACAGATAGTTGTGTGATAACAGGGTAGTTGTGTTACTAAACAGATAACTGGGTAGTTATGTGATAGTTGTGTGATAACAAGGTAGTTGTGTGATAACAGGGTAGTTGTGTGATAACAGGGTAGTTGTGTTACTAAACAGATAACTGGGTAGTTATGTGATATTTGTGTGATAACAGGGTAGTTGTGTGATAACAGATGGTTGTGTGATAACAGGGTAGTTGTGTGATAGTTGTGTGATAACAGATGGTTGTGTGATAACAGGGTAGTTGTGTGATAGTTGTGTGATAACAGATGGTTGTGTGATAACAGGGTAGTTGTGTGATAACAGAGTAGTTGTGTGATAACAGATAGTTGTGTGATAACAGGGTAGTTGTGTGATAGTTGTGTGATAACAGGGTAGTTTTGTGGTAGCTGTGTAATAACAGGGTAGTTGTGTGATAACAGGGTAATTGTGTGATAACAGGTAGTTGTGTGATAACAGGGTAATTGTGTGATAATAGGTGGTTGTGTGATAGTTGTGTGATAACAGTAGTTGTGTGATAACAGGTAGTTGTGTGATAACAGGGTAGTTGTGTGATAGTTGTGTGATAACAGTGTAGTTGTGTAATTACAGGGTAGTTGTGTGATAAATGATTTTATACATAGCCATGACTTTTTAAATACCATCTGAAGATCTCCATGGAAACACATATGCAAGTTACGATAAAATCATTATGATATAAAAGAGAGGTAAACATGAAAAGGAATGAAAAACTAAAAATTTATTAAAATTTCCATCTTTTTTGATGTCATCTGCAGATCTCCAGAGAAAAACAGATGCTAATCCTAATAAAATCATTATTATATAAAATAAAGGTAAAAAGAGAATGAATGAAAAACTGAAAATTAATCAAAATTTCCAAATACATTTTTTTTTGACACAGAAGATTTACTATCATTTAATTACATAAGTTCCTTGCTCACTTCCTGTTTTTATAGATTGTTACCGATCTCATCCTTCTTTAATCAAATTAATCTGATATGCTCATTCCATCATGGCAACTCCATATTCATAGCTACCTGTTAACAATAGTGACAAACAAAAGGTCTACCAGACCTG